TTACAATTATAAAATGGTTTAATTATACAATTGTACATTTTTCCCTTCTTTCTGTTGTAAACCTTTCCGGAAATAATTAATTAAATTTTATTTAAATATCTAAACATAATTTTGTACAATAATATACTTTGCGGAAATATTACAATTGTATTTTTCTCTCCCTTTTAAATATTTTCCAGAAACATTTCTACAAGTTTCTCAACTTTCCGGAAATAATTAATTAATTAAGATAAATTGTTCCGGATCTTATAAAATCCTGATTTTGTGTTTTTCCTTTACTTTTGTATTTTCCGGAATTATTTTTACAATTTGTACAACCTTCCGGAAGGTATTAATTAAATAAAATAAACTTTTCCGGATCTTATGCAATTCTGATTTTGTGTTTTTTCTTTACTTTTGTATTTTCCGGAAATAATATACGTTCCGGAAACACTTGTATTTTCCGGAAATATTTATACAATTTTTAAAATTTTCCGGAAAGTATTAAATAATAGAACTTTTTACAGCACAATAAACTTTTCCGATATTCTTCCGGAAACTTAAAAATACTTATTTTGTTTTTCTTAACTTGTTTTTGTATTTTGCTGACATTTATTTAATACGTTCCGGAAACATTTATGTAAATTCTGACTTGGTATTTTTCTTGTCTATTTATTTTTCTTTTTAAGCTCTTCTTTATTAATATCTTTTTTTAAATATATTAAAAATTCATAACCTTTTAAAAGGCATGTAAATATTTTTAAATACATATCTGACTAATGTAAGAGTGTTTTAAAAAAAAAGAGAATATACGTTTTTATGATTTAGTTTTATTTTTAATTGATAGAGGGGATTAAAATGTGTATAAAAAAGGAGCGTTTTTAGTTTAATATCATTAAAAGTATTTTAATAAAAACTTTCTTTTTTTATTTTTTTTTCAAAAAATCCAATCATTTTTTAATTAATTAATTTATTTATTTTTCTCTTGAAAAAAATTTTTTCTTTTTATTAATTTCAAAATTCTTTTAATTAGTCTCTTTTAATTACTTCTTTTTGTGTGGCTCATTTTTTCATTACTATAAATTTTTTTATTAAATAAAAGGGGACTCCGCGCCATTAGACTTTTAATATACCTACTTTAAATAATTTTTAGTCAAATTATTTTAATTAAAAGAGACTTATATTTTTTAAAGGCTTTCAAGAGTTGAGAAAATAATCTCTGAATAATAAAAATAGGTATAATTGTAGCAATCTAAAAATTAATTTCTCTTCTTTTAAAATCAAAATACAAAGGAAAAAAATTTCGGCATCTAAAAATAGTCAAAAAGGGATATTTAAAAAATTAAGGTATTAAAGATTGAGTGAAAGAGAGATCCCACAGCAAATTGAGCGTGTTCTTAATTTTGACCCAAATTTTTAAGTAATTGTATTTTTTAGTTTCTAAATGTGTGTATTTTTGTATTTTTATTTATTTAAAACTTTCCGGAAGGTGTGTAATTTCATTTTGTATTTTTTCCGGAATTTTTTAAATTATATAATTTGTGTTTTCCGGAAAGTTTAATTGTGTTTCCTCTATTTTTTTATTAAAGCTTCATTTCTCTTCCCCCAAATTTTTTTTGAAATTCTTTTTGAAATTTTTAAAATTTTTCAAAAAAATTCTATACTCTTCTGATATTTATCTCTCAATTTTTAACTTAAACAAAATCATTCAACCTTAAACAAATTTAACTAAATCTTTTAAAAATATAAGTGGATGATGACCCCATTTTTCTCTAATGCTTTTTTAAATGCCACTCATCCCTTCTAAACTCAACACACACACAAATTAGGTTCACTCCATACTTTACCCAAAATAAAATTTTATTAGCAAATTACTGTAATTTTGGGATGAGCGAATGAATGGTGAGAGAGATTGGATAGAGAGGTAGATGAATTAATAAAAAAATTATGGGGGAGGGGATTTTATAGGGAAGTTGTAGGAGGGTGAATTTTTTAGGTAATTATTTAGTTAAGGAGGGTGATGTATGGGCACGTTTCAGTTTCTCAATTTAAATACAACTTTCTTTTCCGGATATTTTAAATTAAATTAAATCAAAGTTTTTAGAGCTTTATAAACTTTTGTTATTCATTGTTGTATTTCTTCCGGAAAATAATTATAAATTGTAAAAATATTTTTCTTCGAAAAGTTTCTAAGTTTGCGATTATTTTTACAAATTGCTTTTTCACGTTAATGTATTTTTATGTGTTTTTACAACTTTTTGTGTTTTCCGGAAAGTTTATATTTTCTTTTTAATATTTTTATATTTCCGGAAAACAATTGTAAATTGTTCAAAAAAAACTTTTTCGGAAAAATTTTTCAAGTTGTATTTATTTTTACAAATTGCTTTTTCCGGTTAATGTATTTTTACAATTTGTGAGTTTTCCGGAAAGTTTATTATTTTCTTTTTTTTAATCTTCATTATGATTGTTAGCGTTGAACTGACCGCGCGTAAAGTGGACAGCTTTATTTTATTTTTAAAATAAAATTATACCTACACATTTTTATTTTATCCTCTCAAATTGGTCATTTAATGGACAAAGAGAGAGGATTTTGGGAAGAAAATAAAAAAAAAATAATTTTTTTGTAAGCGATTAAATACAGTCTGAATTTAATTCGTTTTAATGTGTATATGGGGGGATATTAATAGCCTTCCCTCCTCCTAATTTACCTATTTTTATGATTTTAATGGTAGATTATGGTTATTTTATTCGATTTATATAGTATAATATAATATATTTTTTAATTATTATTTTGAATAATATTTTTTGGTATTTTTTGGATTTTTTTGGATTTTTTAAAATATTTTTAGAGTCCTAAAAGGCTTCTTTTAGCTGTTAAGTTTGTAAGGTTTAATTATGTAGTATAAATTGTAATTGTAAAAACTTAATTATTTTCCGGAATGTTTTGTTTGTGTTTTGTTTCTTTTAATATTTTCCGGAATATTTTTGAACTGTTTTTAACTGTTTTCCGGAATGTGTTTTATAGTTAATTTATTTGTGTTTGTGTATTTATTGTTTTCCAGTTAAGTCTAACTTCTGTGTTTTCGAAATATTTTTAAGTATTTTCCGGAAAGTTGTAAGTTTCATTAATGTGTTTTTGAAATGTTTTGTTTGTATTTTCCGGAATGTTTTTATAATTATTAATTATTGTTTTCCGGAAAAGTCTAATTGTTGTTGTTTTTTGGAATATTTTTAAGTGTTTTCCGGAAAGTTTTATTAATGTGTTTTTGAAGTGGTTTGTTAGTATTTTCCGGAATGTGTTTTACCTAAATTTAATTAACACATATTTCCGGAATCTTAAACGCTTGCGTACTATTCTTTCCTTTTTTGTATTTTCATCCTTTCATCTTTAATTTTTAGTGCCTTAACCTTTTTAAAAAATTTAATTTTTATGGCATTTTAATTTTTTATAAAATTAATTTTAATGAATATATTAAATTGTCTTTTTTTATATTAATTTATTTGATGTAATAATAATAATAAATATATATTTAGAGAGATATATCGGATTTCCTTTTTTCAAACAAGGGGAGGAGGGAGGAGGGGAAGTTTTTCATTTAAAAATAGAGTAAAAGGGAGAGAACAATTTTTGCTTATTATTATTAAAATGTGTAGTAATAATATATTATATTTATTTTTAGCAAACAATAATAAACAAATTAAAATTTTAAATAGAATAAATTAGAAAAAAAATTTTTTAAATTTAGTTAAAATATTTTTATAACAAAAAATTTTTTCCCTCTGGGCAATTTTAAAATTATTAATTAAATCAATGTGGGGGACAGTTTTATCTCAAAAATTTTTTTATTATGTTTATAAATATATTTTTATTTGTTTTATTTTATAAATCTATTATATCCTTTATTAATCTTTTTTTAAAAACTATCTTATTTCTTTTTTTTTTAATTTTTTCTTTCTCATTACATTAATTAATTTTAAATTGTCAAAAATTTAATTTTCTATCGAATGATACCAACTTTGTTCAAAATCATTTATCAGTACAAAAAGCACTTAACCGAGACCTTTCTTATCCTCGATTTTAGTTCTACTATTATTTTTATTAGGGTAAAAATGCGCACATATGAATGCTTCTTTTTAATTTATTTAATTAAATTTAAATAAAATAAATTTAGCGAAACTATTTTTCTATTTTTTAATATTTTATATAAAAATTAATATTTAAATATTATTATTCTCCTCTCGTTTTTACCCCTTTTTTCTGATTTTGGCCTTAATTAATTTTATTCTTCTTCCACCTTCCACCTTTTCCCTCTTTCTGCTCTCCTCGAGAGAGGGGAGTCTCTCTCTCTTCACAAGAATCGGCAATTATTTATTTATATACATTTTACTTAATTAAAAAATAAAAATAAATATATTATTAGCAGAGAAAGATGAAGCTCTGTATTTATTTTAGTTTTTGGATTTTTGTTTTGAGAGAGAGATAATGGAAACATTGTTTAAAGAGAGAGAGAAAAGGGGAGAAGGATGAGGGGAAGGTGAAGCTTTAATAAAGTAATAATATTATTATTTTTATTTAATAAAATACTTTTTTACTATTTTTGGTTTTTAATTAAATTGAGAGAGAGAGAGTGAGGGAGTCAGGGAGGGAGAATAAATTTATAGTTTATTTTATAATGCTAATATATATTTAAATGATCTTATTAAAGCCCAGTCTCTAGTAGAAGCCCATATCTAATGTAAGCCCTCTCAAATTGACCCTTTGAAAAATAGACGCCCAGGGCTTTAATTAGAGCATTTACGGTATTTAAAAATGGCTAAAAGGTTGAAATAAGGGTTGTCGGTTCCTGGAAATTCTTTAGATATCCAAAACCGAACAGAAGAACCGAACCGAAAAATCCTCGATTCTTCGGTTCTGTTCAGAACCAACAACCCTAGTTGAAATGTTAATTAAAAAAATTTTTTTATCCTTTTTTTTCTTTTTGAAATCCTAAGATAATAACACAACACAATAAGTAGATAGCTTGAAATGTCTCCTTCCTTTAAAAAATTTTTTTTCTTATTTTTCACCTCAATTTTTTTTGTTATTTCTTTTACCGCTTATGTATATTTGTCGCGCATTTTGCTACATGTTTTATTATTATGTTTCTTTTTTTTATATTTTTTTTATTATTTAAATTTTGCTGTTAACAAACAAGTACATCAACCCGTATCTTTTCTTTTTTTGTCGGTATATTTTTTTTTGTTGTACTTTTTTTCTAATTACTTACCTAATCGCCACAGGTGTTTAATAAATAATATAAACAAGAAAAAAAATTAAAGAATAACACAAAAAAAATAAAAATTTTGCCTTAAGCCGTTAAAAAATATAGGATATATTTTTAAGTCAAAAAGGCAATAAAGCACATCTAAAAATCCAGAGAATGTGTGTCTAAATAAAAAAATTTTTTTTAAATTATTTTTTAAAAGATAAAAATATTTTTTTTTGATTGAAAAAAATTTAAAAAAAACAGATTAAATTGGATAGTTCCAAATTTAATTGTTAAAGAAAAAAATTTTTAATTTTAGGCATAAGCAACTTTTAATAATAATAATAAACTATAAATTAAACGTAGGCGAGTGTGTGTGATTGACTTTTAATCTTATTTTTTTAATTTTGTGATTAGTTAAAATTATTTTTTAAATTATTGTTTTTATATTTTTTTAATAGGAAATTAAATTGGCTATAAAATAAAATTTAAAAAATTTTTAATTTTTTAATTTATTTAAAAATAAATTGTGAGAGAATAAAACACTTTTGAATGCTTCAAAAATGCCTAGTAAATGCTTAGGTTTTTAACTATAACTTTTGTTGAGAATTTTTCTCATGTTTTGTTTTTTAATTATTTTTAGCAAATTTAATTCTCTATCGAATGATACCAATTTGTTTCAAATCAGATTTGTTTGGATTAGGATAGCTCCCCGAGCTTTTGAAGTCGGGAGTCGGGGATCAGGGTTTGCCTGGGTAGAGACTTCGGAGTTCGTGTCGGGGTTTTTTGCCAAAAAATCGTATGGGTCCGAGTACGGGGTAGGGATGGGAAGCTTCCCTAATTTAGATGATTTTTTATTTTTATTTTAATTTTTGTAAATTTTTAAAAGCTTGCAAAATTGACGTGTGCTTCTTCCTTTTTTACACCCTTTCTCCGTTTTATTTTATTATTTTTTTTAAATTTTTATTTTTCTTTATTTATGTTTTATATTTAAATTTTTTTTCTTCTTTAAAACATGTCGCAATTTGCTTTTAACTTAAAATTTGGTTTTAATTTCTATTTTATACTTTAATTTTTCCTTGTTTTAATTACGTGGATTTGCGCATAGTACTTAGAAAAAATTAGGAGAAAAAAAATTTTTTGACGCAAAAAGAGCTTAGAAAAGTGTGGAAGAGTGTGTGTGTGTGTGTTGTTGTCTTCTTGACTCATTAAAAATATTATTATTTAAATTTTGGAAAAAATTTTTTTTAATTTTGCCAAAAAAATATTTAAAAATGGAGATTATCCAGTAAAAACTTATGGGGGGGGGGGCATTCTACCGTCTATTATAATTGTGTAATGTTTTTGTAATATAAATAAAAACATTTGTTTAAGACTGGGTTTTTTTAAACTTTTTACAATTTGCGTTTTTAAAAATTGTAAAACTTGTTCTTTTCTATAAACTTGTTTTTACAAACCAAAACTTGCAACTTTTTTACAATTAACAAAATTTGTAAAACTTTATTTTTCTGAAAACTTCTTTTACAATTTGTAAAACTTTTTTACAGCTCAAACTTTTTCAAAAAATAAACTTTTTTACAATTTGTAAAACATGTTTTACAACTCAAACTTTAAAACTTAATTTTTCCTAAATAAACTTGTTTTCCTTTTTACAAACAATAAGTTTTACAATTCAGATAAATTAAAATTTTAATTGTAAAAAAGGGGCTTCATAAACAACGTCAAACATATTTAAGTAAAATTGTTTTGGAAGGATTAGGAATTTGTTGTAATGAAAAAGGGGTTGAGGGAAAGGGGGGATTATTTACAAAATAATAATAATAAGAAAAAAATTAAGTAGCTCATCTGTTGATTAAATATATGTAATATAGGTAGTATATATAAATAATTAATTTGGATGTTTATACTTTTTAAACAAATTTATTTTACCTGTTAAGTATTTTGTGTTTATATTTTAAAATTTTTTAGAAAATTTTTCCTTAAAGATTTTTTGAAATAAGAATTACAATTTATTTTACAATTTGTAATTTCCAAGTTGGTAAATTAAACTTGTTTCAAACTTACAAACTTGAAACCTTTTTAGAACTTTGTTTGCAACTTTTGTTTAAAACCTGTTTCAAGTTTTAAACAAATACATGTTTTACAATTCAAGTTTTACAAAACATTATAAAACTTGAAATTGTAAAAATTCTGAATTGTAATTTTACAAACTGTTTTATAATAAAAATTACAAATTGTAATTTGTAATTTCTAATAGAAAAAAAGTTTATTTTGCTCTTTATTTATTTTGTATTTTTTTTGTTTTTCTGACCCGGATATTTATCTATATTTTTAGTTTGAGGCAACTAACACATACAATAAGTTTATTTTTGTTTTTATTATTTTTCTATTCTCAACACGCGCCTAAAGGATAAATTACATACATATACAAAAACAATGAAATTAATAAAAATTGAAAATAATTTTTGGGGCAAATTTTTGGGGGTAAATTAAATAAAATAATAAGTTTATTTTTATTTTTCACTTCATTGTTTAGCCTAGTAGAGCTTGAGAAATTTTTTTATTTATTTTTAGAGGAGTAATAACTGGTAGAAAACTGCTTACAGTGTTTCAGTATCGAGCTCTCATCATTATTTTTTATTTATTAAATTTAGACGTGTGCATATTTATTTTTAATAGCGTTGTAGTTAACTTGTGTGAGTGGTCCCTCATTTTCTAAATACCTCCAAAAATATGCCCACCTTATTTCCCCTCGGGGCAAATTTTTGGGATATATTTTTTTTGTCTCAATCCACAAAAGAAGCAAAAACACCTATTTATGTAAATACTTTAATTGTTTTTACCCTCAAAAAAGAATATTTTTTCCTTTATGTAATCATCGCATGCTGCGAAGTCAGGGGGTGATAGGCTAAATATTAATTGTTTAAAAAAGATTTTTGGCAGGTGCCAAAAAATAATTATATTTTTATAATACCCCCAAAAAATATTTTTTTGTTAAGACCGCCCATTTTCCTAATTTTTTCCTAAATCTATTTATTCTTCTTTTATATAATTTACCAGACAGGTATACAGTAATATATGTTGCTATTTTAATTTAATAAACATAAAACTTATATTTAAGATTAAACTTGAAATTAAATTAAAACTTTAATTAAGATTAAACTTGAATTTAAATTAAAACTTGAAACAAATAAACTAAATTAAAATTAAACTTGAAGCAAAACTTATATAAAACTTGTTTTAATTCAAGTTTGTTTTAAACCAAGTTTTTGTTTTAATTCAAGTTTAATTTTAAATAAACTTGAATTAAAACAAGTTGTATTTTAATTAGTTTTAAGTTTTAATCTTATTTCCAAGTTTTAGATGTTTCAAGTTTGTTTTTATGTTTCAAGTTTAGTTTTGTTTCTCCACTGTTGCTTTTTCAATGTTTCTTCTTTTTAAAATTTTTATTATTTAAAAATGTCATTTTTTTATGATATGATATATTAATATTATTATTTTTTCTTTATTATTTTATATATACTATTTTGTTAATTATTTTAATTTTTTTCTTGTTTTTTATCTTCTTAAAATTTTTTTTTATTTGAGCTATGTAAATGTGTGTGTGTTTATGTAAACAGTTCATTAACTCATTTTTTTATTTCTCTTTTTTTTCCTTTAATGACGAAAAATTTTTGTTAACATTTAAATAGATTAGTATAAGCTCATTTTTATATTTTAATAATTAGTTGAAATTATTTTTTAAATTCCTCTTTGTATTAAACAAAAGCTGTTTAGTAGTGAGTGTCTTGTTGAATAGCCCCAGTTGTGTGCCAACCCTTGTAACTTTTTTGTAAAAAATCTTTTTTGAACAAATCTTGTATCATTCGATAGAGAATTGAATTTGCTACGAAATAAAAATAAATACAAATTTATGAAAAATTTCAAAAAAATTTTGTTGATCAAAAAAGAGAATTAAACAGTGTTAGTGAAGTCACAGCTAGGTTTTAGCCTTGTAACTCCGGACTGGATATTTCTAAAAAAATTGTTTTAGCAATATTCGATAGAGAATTGAATTTGCTACAAGTTAGTATTTTAATTAGAATTTTAATTTATTAGAAATAAAGCTGTGAGCGAGAAAGTAGCATAGGGTAAAAGAGGAGGAGAGGTCTTTAAAATTTAAAAAAACTTTTATTTTTCCAAATGTCTTGAAAAAATATTTTTTATTCGATTTTGTATCAAATTTTATGCTCTATTAAATGATACCTTAAACTTTTCAAAATATCAAGTATTTGAAGAGTTGTGGTTGAAAAACTAAGCTTACATTACATGCGTATTTGTCCCCACAAGGACTCTGCTTCTCTTGACAATTTTTTGAAATTTTTTTGAAATTTTTTTACTCAATATATATTTTTCTTTCTATATTTGTGACCAATTAAAAATTACCAATTAATTTTTAAACAGAAATCATTGAGGTAGAAAAAAAATTTTTTTAACAATATTAAAGACAGATTAAGCAATTTACGTAAAAATTAGTACTAATAAGGGGGATTACTTGTGTTTAAAAAAAGTTTTTTTTCAATTTTGTCACACATTGTACTTTTTGTTTTTAATATGCTTCTTCTTCTACACACTTTACCTGCTTTTATTTAGTTTAATTATTTAAAAAAATTTTTTTAAGTGTTGAATATTTTTAAAGTTAACTCAGTGAAGCAAGCTACGTTAATGCACACACCTATGTTTATGTTTTATTTGAAGCACCAAAAACATGTTTTTCTCCAACTTGTTTCTACAATTTGTTTTTTTACAACTTGAGTTTTAACAACAAGTTGTAAAAACAATTTGTTTTTACCAGCTTGTTTTTCTCCAACTTGTTTTTATAATTTTTTCTCAATCTTTGTTTTTCTAAACTTGAGTTGTTTAAAAATAAGTTGGTAAAAACAAGTTGCTTTACCAACTTTGTTTTTACAAACTTGTTTCTGCGAACTTGTTTTTACAATTTGTTTTTCTCAAACTTGTTTTTCTTTTTGGAAACAAGTTTTGCAAGTTTCCATGTTTTGTTTCTTTAACAAAGAATTTTTTACCAAACATTTTATGTGTGAATATACATAGTGAGCTTTTATAGTTATTAATCATTTTTATTATTTAAAAATTATTATCATTTTAAAAATTTTTTACTAAAATTACAGATAATTTATTAACACTATTAAATTAAAAGGAAGGGGAAATAGACCACGCCTACACATTTTTCTTTCCTCCTTTTCCCCCTTTTTTCTACCATTTATCTCTCTCAAATTATATAAGCTCCTCCCATTTTTTTGGAATGCAAATAATATAACCTCAAATCCTATTATAATAAATAAATTATATAATTTATTTATAATTTTTATTTGATTTTTCCTGTTTTTTAAAAGGCATTTTTTTCTTGTCTTATTCTAAAGCGGTGGTAATAATACATTTTTAATGAGTACTTTATTTTTTTAAAAATATTTTTAAGAATATTTTTAATAAATATTTTTCCTATTATTTATTACCGTTTACTTAATATACCTATATAAATTTTTATTTAAATTCCATTCTTTTTTCTTTGTTATTTTTTGGATTTATTTTTTTGTTTATTTTGCTTGTTGTTTTTAGCTTTTGTTTTAATTTGTTGTTTTTAGTTTTCCAACTTGTTTTTCTTTTCAACATTGTTTTTCTAAACTTGAGTTGTAAAAACAAGTGTCAAAATAAACTTGTTTTTGCCCAACATGTTTTTACTCAACTTGATTTTGCAATTTGTTTTCTCAATTGTTTTTACAACTTGTTTTTTTTGTTTTTACAAACCTAGTTTTACAACTTTGTTTTTATCAACTTGTTTATTTAATTTGAAGCTTATTTTACGAAATTGAAACAAGTTTTAAATGTTTCCATGTTTTGTTTCCTTTTGTAGTTTTGTTAGTTACGAAACTTGCTTTAAATATTTACCGTTTTGCTTCACTTTTTTTTTAATTTTTCATTTTCTGGTCCTAATATTCCAAAAAAATTTTCTTTTCATTTTTTAATAACTTGAGGGAATTACTGAAAAAATAAAAAAAAAAGTAATTATGGCAATCTCGTTAATTTATTATTTAAAAAGTTTCTACTAAACGGCGGGAGAAAATAAAATAATAAAAAGGAAAAAGTTTTTTTTATTTTAATTTGAAGCTTATTTTATGAAATTGCAAATATAGTAAATTGGTTATTTAAAAATAATAAAACTTTTATTTTTTTTGCCTAATTGTTTTAGTTTTGTTTTTAATTGCTTCAAGTTTTTACTAAAACAAGTTTTATTTATTTTTTATTTAAAACGGAAAAGTTTTACAAACTTGTAGGTTTGCAAACTTTTAAGTTTACAAACTTGAACAAGTTCTATTTTAAATAAACTTGAATTTCTTTTTAAAACTTTTTTCTTCTCTTCTCAATTAATTATTGGTTGTTTTCTTTTAACTGAAAGTATGCCATACTTAAATGAACATAACTTTTTTTAAACTAAACCGATTTTCGAATTTTTTGAACTAATAAATAGAGAATTGAATAAGCTATAAAATGAGATTTAAATTAAATTTTTATGTCAAATTTGAAAAAAGTTGTAGTCAAAAAAGTGTCATTTTTGGAGGTTTTTGAAGGTTTTTGAGGGATTTATGGCTGAAATCTTATTTAAAAATTAATTAAAAATTTAAATTTTTTCTCTATTTTATAGCTAATTTAATTTTTTATTATTTTTTGAATATTAAAAAAACAATTTATTTATTTTTAATTGGATGTTTGTTTCAAAAGTTGGTTGGTGTTGGCTGGCTGTTTTACTAATAAATTTGCACTTATTAACACACCTCACCTTTCTCTTCCATCCTCTCTTTTTATTTTTCTAAACTGCGTCAATTGTGGCAATTAATGAATTTAAAATTTATTTTATATTTTTGCATAAATTTGGCACGAAAATATTTACTAACTAATGAGCTCTAATTCATTCTCTTCATATTTTTAAATCATTTTTATTTATATTTTTTTTAATTTATTTATTTAGTTATTCTCATTATAGTCTAGTAGGTGTGTGTTTCAATAAATATCATTATTATTTAATTCTCTAATGGATAGTTAAATGTCTAAATGAAAAAAATTTTTAGTATCATTTTTAATTAAGGAATTTGTAAAAAAAATTTTTAGGTCAAAAAGAATCATCGAAAATAAGCAAAAATATGTCAGTTTTTTGGTCTTAACTCTTTTGTAAATTTTTCTAATATTTTTTATTTTTATTTTTTTACAGCCAATTCATTTCTCTATTAAATGATACTGAAATTAATTTTTAGGATAAATCCAGTCCGGATTTATAAAATTCAAACTGAGTTGATTTGATTAAAAAATGCTTGGAAATGAGGGAAAAATGTGTCAGTTTTTTGTCCATAACTTTTTAAAATTTTTTCCAAGATTTTTTCTTCTTGGCTATTTTGTAGCCAATTTAATTCTCTATCAAATGTAATCAAAATTAATTTTTAAGATTTATCCATCCCGGAGTTATAAAATTAAAACTGAGGTGACATACACGAAAATGAGCGTAATTGTGTCTGTTTTTTGTCCACAACTTTTTAAAAAAAATTTTCTAAACTTTTTTCTCCTTGCCTATTTTGTAGCCAATTCAATTCTCTATCAAATGTTATTAAAATTATTTATTAAGATTTATCCATTCTAGACTTATAAAATTAAATCTAAAGGTGACTTCACAACTACTTCACTTACTAATACTTAATTCTTTGCCCTTCTTATTTTAATTAAAATTTTTTTAATTTTTTTAAATCTTTTTATTTTTTTTAAATTTTTTATAAGAAAATTGACGTTATCAGATAGTAAAAAAAAATTTTTTTAATAAATGAATAATTTTCTAAAAAAAAATTTTTTAAATTTATTATTTATGCATTAAGCTAATGATGAAATTAAATGAATTGTAAAAAAATACATATTTAAATGATTTTTATTTTCTCTTTTCTTTTAATTAATTGCCTGTATGTACTTTCTTGCTAAAAATAATTTTTTTTTAAATTTTATTTTTATTTTTAAAATGTCAAAGTGTCAAAATGCCAAAAGTTCAAAAAAATTTAAAAAATTCCAACTTTTTTTAGATTTTTCCATTAAAAAATTATTTTTTATTTTTAAATTATTTTTCTAAAAAGCAGCAACGACGCCGTCTACAAAGTCGGCGCATTCGCCAACCGCCTCGATTAGGCGCAAAAATAATAGTAGCAACAGCAATAATAAAAGTGGACAACATAAACAACAACAACAACAAATTACAAATATGGTAACTAATGTTGCAACATCAAATCAACAACAACAAGGAGTTTTGTCAAATAAACAAGTTGGTTATATATTTTACAAAAACATTTGTTGTAAAACTTGTTTTGTTAAAATTTGGATTTTATAACCAATTGTAAAAACAAGTTTGAAAAACATGTCAAAACTTGTTTTTTCAAACATTTTACTTAAAACTTGTTTAGAAACATTTTGTAAATTGTAAAACTTATTTTGAAAACTTGTGTTTTTACAAACATTTGTAAAAACTTGGTCAAAAACATTTTTTTATTAATTAAACTTGTTTTGTAAAACTTGTTTTGCAAACATCTATTAAAACTTGTTATGAAACTAGTAGTAGAACATGTTTTAAAAATTTGTGTTTTACAAACATATTTTAATAAGTTCATGTTTTTAGCAAACAAATGATGACCAAAATTCCCAACAAACATTCAAAACACCAACAACACCAACAAACGAAAACATTCTTTTTTCTGATGCATTGCAACAACAACATTTACAACAAATGTTTTCTCAATTACAACAACAATTTTTGTCCAATTTTCAAGAAACAAATGTTTCATCAATTATAGAGAGTGGATCGCAACAACAACAACAACAAACATCTCTTTTTACTCCAGAAAATGCTTCTGCTGGACAAACGCTTGCTTTGTTTGCAGCAGCAGTTAATGGTCAAAATGGTAATGGAAAAATTTTTTTTTGAAAATTTTCTAATAAAATTTATTCGAAAAATTTTTTTGAAGCATGAAGCAAAAAATTTTTTTTGAAAAAAAAATTTTCCCCCAAAAAAATTTTTTTTTGAAATTTCTAATTTTTTTCCCCAAAAATTTTTTGGAAATTTTACAAAAATTTTTTTCCCTTTTTTTCTAGCAGAATCCCTACTTAAACAACAACAAGTTTCTTCAATTTATTCAATGTTTCCAACAACAACAACAACAAGCAACGATATTTTAAATTCATTTTCACAACAAGATTTGACCAACATGTTATTAATGCCTGGATTATTTTCTAATTCAAATGCTTCCCAATTTTTACAAAAACAATTTGAAGAACAAATTGCTAATAATAATACAAATATGGCTGAAAATTCTTCTTTAGTTTCTTCATCTCCTCAAATGGTGATTAAAAAAATTTTTTTAATTTTTTTAAGTTAAAGTTTCTGGGAATGTTTTGATAAACGCTTGTTTTTACCTAACAAATAGGCGTTATTTCAACCTAGTTGTTGTTTTTGCCCTTTATCTTTTGATTGGATTGACCAATTAAATTGAGTTTTATATCATTCGATAGAGAATTAAATTCTCTATCATAACAGCTTGAAAAAAATTTTTTTTAAGTTTTAAGTTTCTGGGAATGTTTTGATAAAACGCTTGTGTTTATCTAAGCGTTATTTCAACCTAGTTGTAGTTTTTGCCCTATATCTTTTGATTGGATTGACCAATTAAATTGAGTTAAATACCATTCGATAGAGAATTAAATTTTCTATCAAAACAGTTTAAAAAAATTTTTTGTTTTAATTCTAATTAAGTTGAGGTCTAAAAACTTGCGCGTGTTTATGCTATTTTTTGGGGATTTTTAAAAGTTTTCCTTCCACATAGCTTTTTTTAAACTTAATCTAAATTTTTGGATTTTTAACCATTTTATGCCAAATTTAATTCTCTCTCGAATGGTGTATAAAGCTTTCAAATAAGTTTAATATTTGTTGAGTTATAAGGCTGGCACTGAACTAACCTCTTAGTAATTAAATTAATTTCAAAATTAATTTTTTTATTTTTTTAAAATTTTAGAGTGATGTAAGTGGTGATAAAATTTACAAAACAGAATCTAATGAAGTTGAAGAAAATGGTAAAATTAATGAAAAAATTTTAAAAAATATTTTTTAATTAAAAAAGATTGTTTTTCACCTCCACCAAAACGTAATAAAAATATGAGAGGTTCAACTGAACGCCAAAATAATCAACAACAAACAAGAAAATCATCAGAAAATTCTTTATTAAATGATCATCAACAAAATAATTTTGGTGGAAATAATAATTCTAGATCAATTTTGGATTGGGAACATCAACAACAAAATTCTTCCCCTCCTTTGATTGATGCTTGTGGTGGTGGTGGGGGAGGTGGTGGAGGGGGAGGAGGTGGAGGAAATGGGAAACGTAAACAACGTAGATATCGAACAACTTTTAATTCTAGCCAATTAGATGAAATGGTAAAAAATTAATTTAAAAATTAATTAAAATTTTTTTTTAATTTTTTAAAAATTAAAAAAAATTTTATACCTAAATGTCACTAAATTTAATAAGAAATGTTTTTACAAAACAATTAAAGTTGCAAACTTAAAGTTTTGCAAATTCAAGTTTGTAAATTTACAAATGCAAACTTAAATTAAAACTTCAAACAAACAAACAAACAAACTCGAATTATAACTTGGAAATAAACTTGAAAATAAAATAAGCCTGGAAACTTGAAATAAAGTTTTTAAAAGAAAAATAAACTTGAAACAAATACAAACTTGAATTTATATAAAAAAACTTGAAAAACTTGAAACAAAGTTTATTTATTTTTATTTTAAGGAGAAAACATTCCAATTTCAACAATATCCAGATGTTTACGTGAGGTAGCTTTTTAATTTTATAAAAAAAATTTTTTTCTAATTTTTATTAAAAAATTTATTTTTTATATTTATGCTAAATTAATGGGGATTATAATCAAAGTACAGTAAAAACATCTCAAAAATTTTTTTTCTAAAAAGTTTTGGACATTAAGGGCCTAAAATAAACCTAATTAAGCTTCTTTTTTCTGTCTACATATTTAATTCTTTTCCTTCTTTATTGCTTCTTTATTGCTTTTAAACTTACTGTAATCCTCTTTATTTTTCTTTACTATTATATTTTCTTTTGTCTGATCTTTCCGGAAAATTTTAAGCTTTTTGTAGCAACTTTAATTTTAATTAACTTAGGCTTGACCTGGGCTTAGTTTTTGTTTTATAACTAGAGAATGAGTTGGACTATAAAAATGATTTTGGTATCATTCGATAGAGAATTAAATTTGCTACAAAATGGTATCAAAATCAAAATTTTATATGTATTTTCTAGGTCGGAAGTTATGATAAAAAAACCTGAACAGAGTAGGGAATTCTTTAAGTTTTTTAGTCAAAAAAATTTTTTGATTTTGTCTAAAATTTTCTTTTCTCGTTATTTTGTAGCAAATTTAATTCTCTATCGAATGATACCAAAAGAATTTTAATTGGTTAATTTTTTCTTGAGTTGTGTTAATTTATGTGTAGTTACCGTCTTCGCGTTTTTTCTTTCCTTTTTCTCTCTCATGGACCTCTGCCTTAAAAATTGTTTTTAATTGTTTTTCCCAAAAAATTAAATAATTTTTTCTTTTTAAATATTGCGCGTACTTAAATAAATATTTTGGAAAAAAATTTTTAAGCAAGTCCAAAAATGTCGGTAGGAGCGGCAATTTTTTTTGGCCATCAACAACAACTAAACTAATTGCCCTAAGGCCTTAAAACAATTTTTATCTTTTTCCTTAGTCAATTATGGTCGCCTTTTTCTTTTCTTTTTTTTTAAATTGGAGGGCCGGAAACTACGGAAACTAATTTTTCTAATAAAATATTGTCTTTATTTATTTACCGAAAGTACAGGAAGTTGGGGGAAAATGAAAGGGAAGGGGTTTTCTACTATATGGTATAATTTATTTAGGGTTGGGGGGAAAGACAACGTTGAAGCGTCTCAACACACCTTGTAACTACTTTCTTTGCGGGAGACACACAATTTAAAAAGTAAATTTATAAATTTATTTAAGAAAAACCCTTTAAAATTGGTTCATGCGGGAAGTAGTCAAAATTGTTTTAAAAAGCTTTTCCCCCTTCCGTTGCTTTTTTTGAGTAAAAATGGCGGCAATTGGAGCGCATTTCCTAAAAATACATAAAAGTAGGTAAAGGAGGGTTTAACTTAAAAAGAGAGGGTGTGCCGAACAGGCACAATTTTGCCTCAAAATTTAATTATTTTATTTATTATTTTTAATTTTATTTATCGATTCCGCCCATTCCATTTATCTCTCATTTTCACCTAACTTTGCTTTGTACCGCCCAATCTCTTCTCTATTTAACTATTTGGCTTTTAAGAGAAAAGCCAGTTTTTGAACTTCATTCTTAATTACCAGCCTCCTCTGTTTTTCTCCCCTTTTTAATATATTTTGGAATTTAATTAAATAAATTTTTCTTCTTTAAATATTTCTAAGTGTTTGAGTCTAGGGGTCTTGAGATCAAATTGCCACATTCGGCACATAAAAATTGGAGCCCCGTACGGGTCAAGAATACCCGTTTCTTCAGTCATCACGGCTAGAGCCGATCAGTGGATCCCTAGTCCCAGAACGAGTAGCAGGCCCAATAGTGCCCACCGTTCTTTAAAAGCTTTTGTTATCGAGTGGGAACGACCCACTGATAATCTTCTCGGCACAGAGCCGAACCTTTTACTACCCAGCAAGTATTTTTTGGGAATAGTGCCAATAGTTTATTTCAGTGATTAACTTTAACGATTGCCGGCCAGAGGTGCCCATCGTTTTTTTATCTATATTTTTCTAGCAAGTGCCGGCCAAGAGTGCCCCTTGTTAGCCTAATCATTTACCTTTAACGATTGCCGGCCCCATAGTGCCCGTCGTTAACTTATTAGCTAATTTCCGAGTGCCGGCCCCATAGTGCCCGTCGTTAACTTATTAGCTAATTTCCGAGTGCCGGCCCCAAGTGCCCGTCGGATAAACGATTGCCGGCCTCAGAGTGCCCATCGTTTAATCAAATCAGTCTACAGTCCAAGTGCCGGTCCCAAGTACCCGTTGGACATCTCATACTCAAGTGACCCTTCCCAGACTCAAACAGCCCTTTTGGCCGGCCAATCAGAGAGCCTGCGCCTTTTTACATTCCTTACAGTTTTTTGCACATCTGGCGACTTGCGCCATTTTTCCCTTTTCATTTTAAAAATAGTTTTTGTGTTCTTTGGCCATAGGAAATGCCAACACAAAATAAACAGTTTTGCACATTTTTGTGCATTCCTTTTCAAAAATTTATATCGGCAAGTTAGGCCATTTTTTCCTTTCTTTTGTATATTTTACACACTTCTGGTGTAAAAACAAAAGATTATCTTCGGTTGTTTACATTTATATAAATAAAATTTTTTCATCGCTAGAGAGCGAATTTTTCTAAAAGTTAGAAAAGGAAAAACCTTAAAGGGGGTTTTTTATAAAACAAATTTCTTCACGGCTCAGATAGCCGAATAAACACAACACACATCTGGTGTGTCATCTTTTTTTGCACATTTTATTGGAAAAATAAATAAATTTTTATAAATTTAATTTTTAAAATTTTTTTCTGCACGGCAAAGGCCGAATTAATTTAAAGATTTCCTTCACGGCTCAGATAGCCGAAGTATAATTTCTCGGTTAATAAGAACCGAATCCCTTTATTCTACTGGTGTGCCGGTTAGAGTCCCCATCAGTTCAGTCATTAATATCAGAAATCAAGTATACAAGTTACTCAAATCATGCCATCTTCAAGGCTTATCCGGTCTCAGCTAGGACCAGCCCTCAAAACATTAAAGGATCAGTTAGTGACCGCTACTCAGTTGTTAGCCACTAATCATGGTAACCAAACCCAAGATCAGATACGCGCAGCGCGTTTTCAGTTAAATCGTACTCTAGATCGAGTCGATTCTTTACACAGTAAATGGGCTTATCTCCTCGACAGCCTGGAGGGAGATGATCTTGCCCAGGAGGAACAAGTTTATAAGAGATTCGCTCCCCAAGCAGAGGGAGACCCAGACTATAATCATTTCATGGAATTAGTAGAGAGAGCCAAAGGAGTTTTGGGCGATCTCGATTTTCTTATAGAACAATCGGTACCCTCAGGCCAATCCAGTCAGGCAGGAGTATCCGAAGTATCAGACCAGTTATCCCAAGTCACAAATAAAACCGAGCGGCAGATCCCGCAGATTATTAAACAAGAAAACAAAATCCCAGTTTATCCTATAGAAGCCAGACTTCCAGAGCTTAAAATGGATCCCTTCCATGGAGATCCCAAGAAGTGGACCACCTTTTGGCAACTTTTTTCAGCGAACATTGATTCCCGTCCCATGGATAATATCAGAAAAATGAGTTACCTTCTCGCCTTCCTTCAGGGTTCAGCTAAAGAATTAGTAGCTGGATTTGTCCTTTCCAATGAGAATTATGACCGAGCCTTAGATTTGCTCAAATCACGTTATGGAAATAGCCGGGCCATCACAGAGGCTTTAGAGGCTGAACTTATGAACCTTACCCCACCCAACGACTCCAGCCATTCCTTAAGGGCATTCGTTGACTCGGTGGAAAGAATTTGCCGACAGTTAGAGGCATTTGGAACGATGGATCAGTCCCCATTCGTGTCCACAGTTATCAAAACCAAGCTGCCCCAATCTATAGTTGCCAAGTTAATTGAGAAGGAACGATATTCCCAAGCCAGATGGGACAGTGCCAGACTTAGACAAGAATTATGTAACCTAGTTGAGATTAGTGAGGAGGTTATGCGTTTCTCACAACTTAAAATAAGACCTCAGGGAGGTTCAGTTGCCCCTCCCATCCATCAGAGAAATGATTACCGTCCTAGAACAGAATATACCGAACAAGTCCGTTCATTTTGTGCCCAATCACGACCTAGTCCAGGCAACCAGTTGCCCCCTCAAGGCAAAAGATACTGTTCATTGTGCAACGCAGGAATCCATTTCCCGAGTGAATGCCCTAGTTATTCAACACCTCAGGCACGTTTTCAGAGATTGAAAGAACAGAAACGTTGTTTTCGTTGTCTGGGAGAAGGACATTATGCCAGAGAATGTCCTTCATCTAAGATTTGTGCCCAATGTCAAGGGAACCATCACGTGTTAGTATGCACGAGAACTTTTGAAGATAATCAGGATTTTCTAGCCCCAGAGGAAGATAGTTATTATCCCGAAAACCAAATCATCCAGATGGCTTTAAGCCAGAATCAGAGTCCAGTTATTAGTTCAGATAAAGCATTGTCAGTACGACACCAAGTACAGCAAGTTAGAGAGACCCCACCTGTTCAAACCAATATTCAACCTCTTCAGAAGGTTGTAATTCAGGAGCGTGTTCCAATTCCAAAAGTTGTGAGATTTACTGAGCCGTTACCAGTTAGACCCAAGATAATGACATTATTCACTATTAACAAGGAAATAGTTAAACCAGAGTTGGGCACAGAGCCTGATATTTGCCCTCAACCAGAGAAGCTACTAATGAGTAAGAAAGTTAAAGAGAAAGATGAGAAGCAAATACAAGGGAATAATAGAGTTAAAGAGAACACGTCAACAGTTGACGATCAGATTACCCGCCTCAAAGATAATAGTGATTCTCCTAGCTGTGAAAGTTTGAATCTTTCATCAGATTTGCCTTACCACAAGTTCCAAATAGAGAAAGATAATATAATTACCGAACCAGTAGATAAATCTTATCAGAAGCTGCAGATAGAGAAAGAAAATAGAATTACCGAACTCGCCCTTAATAGTCCAGACACCATGGAGCAGTTGACTCATAGTGTCATCGAGCGACCAGACGAGTTGCGTCGAACCAACCGAGAATTTACTAAGTTCCAGAGGGTGAAAGACCCTTCCGATCTTCCTTTAATAGAGATATACCTTTTCGCCCTAAATAGTCCAGACACCATGGATCAGTTGACTCATAGTGTCATCGAGCGACCAGACGAGTTGCGTCGAACCAACCGAGAATTTACTAAGTTCCAGAGGGTGAAAGACCCTTCCGATCTTCCTTTAATAGAGAAAACTAAAGTTTCACATACATTATTACCAGAAAAGCTATTTCCTAAACAAATATTAGACGAGAAAGCTCATGGAACCAAGAAAAGACTAGAAAAGTTAAAAGAAATGATCCAGGAAAACCTAGCCGGTTATGGAATTGCTCTCATATTAATTTCTCTGACATTTATAATAAACGTTAGCTGTGACCACAAGGACCAAATAGTAGTCTGCCAAGAAGAGCAGACCATCAGAAGGAAGAAAATTCCACCTGATATACCTTTTAAAGCATTTAAATCCATAAACAAGACTTTAGTAAACAGAAATTTCATATCCATTTATTTTATTCCGGTAATCAGTATAATTACCATAATTATCAGTTTTAAAAGCACACTAGCATTTTTTATTTACAACATTTTATTTAATTTTTTGCGAAGTGGGGAAGGGGTCAGAGACCCAAACCACAAAGTTTCACCAGACCCCACCAGAATTTTTCAAAAAATTTGTTTAAACAAAGTAATTGGTGATAGTCCGCCAGAGGGCGATAATTTATCACTTAAGTCAGAGCAGAGTTTAGTGCTCTTCCAAAGTTATGGGAAAAGATTGGGCAAGAGCCCTAAGAAAATATTTGAGTTACAAAAGAAAGAGCGCCAACAGTTTGGGCGAATAAGCACTCCCTTTATTAAAGCAGAGACAAAAACACTCAATGAGCTAGGCGGTGGAATTGTGCCAAAGGACGGACCTATTATTAGCAATTTCCCTCCATCTATTTCAGTACTATTAGCTCAAGTACCTTTTATTTTATTAGCTCAGCGAAGCCTTCCACCGAGATTAGTAGCTCGGAGCATTCAACCATTCTCAGTTGTGGCTATAGAGCCGACTCTTTGTTTGTTTCCTAACTCATCGCAGTTGTCCTCCGTGTTTCCTTACCCAACAACAGCTTTTACTTCAGTACGACTAGCATATTTTAGAAAGTTGGGTAGCTCAGAAATAATTGAGAATTTTGATCTTATGAATAAATGGTTGGATTCTGGCAGCGCTATTGTATCATCAACTAGCGAAAGTGTTCTCGACTCTTACGAAGAGCAAGCAATAGAAAATACATCAAAAAGTGAGAAAATTGTGGAAAATGATAAAAGACCAGAACAACAGCAACCACTTTTATTTTATTTTAAATCCTCTACATGTGCCCAACAATGTAGACAACCAGAAAAGTGAACATCAAGTAATGGAACAATCATCACAACAACATATTGGTTGGGAAACCGGTAAGGATAATGCTTTGGGGGGAAATATAGAAGAGAAATTAGAGAAAAAACCAGAATTAAATTTCGAATTAACGCTTCAGAGAAAGCACCGAAACGAATATGAAAGACCTACACGGCGTAGAGCCGAAGCGAATCCCACAGAAATTAAAAGTGAAGAACCTTCACCCCCAGGTCCGAAGCCTCCGCAATGCCAGCCGCTTCCCCATTCAACCAGTTACAAGACCGTGCCCCAGTACACCCTAGCTACAAACCAACCCATTATGGTCGAAAGCGACCTTGGCCTTACAGCAATGATCAGAGCATCTCTAAGGCCACACCTTGTTTCTGCATCCGCAGTGGATATAGAGAAAACCCCTCATGTTCAACCAGTTTCCTTCGGAATGCGTGATGGAATCGAACTCAACGATGGCAATCAATGAGAGGAAGAAGACAATTAGAAGAGCCGATGATTAATAAAACATTTTGTGATTATTTTGGACATTCATTTTTATTCCCTCTTCCTCTTTTCTCGCCGAGGGGAATGTGCCGAACAGGCACAATTTTGCCTCAAAATTTAATTATTTTATTTATTATTTTTAATTTTATTTATCGATTCCGCCCATTCCATTTATCTCTCATTTTCACCTAACTTTGCTTTGTACCGCCCAATCTCTTCTCTATTTAACTATTTGGCTTTTAAGAGAAAAGCCAGTTTTTGAACTTCATTCTTAATTACCAGCCTCCTCTGTTTTTCTCCCCTTTTTAATATATTTTGGAATTTAATTAAATAAATTTTTCTTCTTTAAATATTTCTAAGTGTTTGAGTCTAGGGGTCTTGAGATCAAATTGCCACATTCGGCACAGAGGGTTAATTCGTTCCTTATTCAAAAAGAAAAATACATTAATGGCCATTAAAAAGGGGCTAATAATAAAATAGGTAAGGCAACAAGTGGCACACATTTTATTATCTTTTTAAGTTTACAAAAGAAAAATGGAGGGAAAGGGGAATTATTAAAATGAGGAATAAATAAATTAATTAATGAAAAAAATAAACTTGAAGCAAAAACTTGAAAAAAAATTTAATTCAAGTTTTCAAGTTCACAAACTTAAAAACTTGAATTAATAAAAATAAGTTGTTCTGATTATTCTGATTTTTATTTATTCTGAACTATTCAAGTTTTCAAGTTTACAAACTTGAAAATATTTAAAATGTTCTGATTATTCTGATTTTAATTTAATTTTATTCTGAATTAATTTTAAGTTTACAAACTTGAAAACTTGAATTTAAACAAAATGTCTCTTTTCTTCTGATTTTTAATATTAATTCTCTCTCTCATTTTTACACTCATTCTCTATTTTAATTAATCAAAAATAGGGGGAATTTTTTAATTTTAAATGCATATTGTTTATATCCAATTTTTTTTAAAAATGTCAAATTAAATAATAATTTTCTTTTCTTTTTTCTCATGATTCTCTCTATCTTTTTCTATTTTCATTCATCATCATCAACCAAAACCAATTAAAAATTAAATAGGTATATATTTATGGCAATTTATGGCAAAAACAATCTCGAAAAAAGAGCTTTTTTTGTTTAAATATTAAATTAATTTTAAATAATTTATTTTTAAAAAATAATTTTTTTTTGTCCTCCTTCTGGCTTAACATAATTATAATAATAAAAACCATTTTTTCCTTTAATATATTAAAGAAGAAAAGAAAATTGACACTTTAATTGGTTCCTAAATTGGGTGTAAAATTGTTTTTAAAAAATTTTAAAAGGAAAAAAATTATTTTCGGTACTCTTTGAACTAGAAAATTAAATATAATTTAATGAGCGATGGGGAGGGAGGAAGATTCTTTTTAAGGACACAATTGCGATGGCAATTAGTGAGAATTTATATAAGGGAAAAATAGGTTGTGTTGGGGTTTATTGTCGGCATTAATGTTGTTGTTGTTTTTCGTTCACATTTTTAACGATGTAAAACGGGTGGGAGGGGGAAAAACATGGTAGTCAACCGGCACCTGTTAGTTGCCGCCTTATGTTTAGATAATAAATAAAAATAAAATAATTATATTATGAGGGATAAATAAATAAAATTAGCAAAAATATTTGAGGGACGAATATACGCTATAAAAATATTTAAATATATTTCCGGAAAATATATATTTATTTCCGGAATTGTTTTGGAGGAAAATTAATTTTTATATATTTTCCGGAAATAATTTTCCGGAAATGAAATATAATTTTTATGTTTTCCGGAAGAAATATAACTCTAATAAACTTTTCCGGAAAACACATTTTTTCCGGAATTATTTTAAGAAAAATTTTTCAATTTTTATATTTTCCGGAAGCAATTTCCGGAAATGAAATATAATATTAAAGTTTTCCGGAAGGGTATATATAATAATATAAACTTTTCCGGAAATAGTCTACCGGAAAAATAAACTTGAAATATAAAAATAAACTTGAAGCAACTATAATAATTTCTTTTTTCAGAGAAGCATTGGCTCTCAAAATTAATTTAACTGAAGCTCGCGTTCAAGTATGGTTTCAAAATCGTCGTGCAAAATGTCGAAAGACTGCACGAAGCTTTGATCGTAACAACTCTTACCTGCTTACTGGACAACCATTCAATTCTAATAATGCTTCAACTTCTGCTGCCGCATTAAATACAGTTGCTGCTGCTTTAAATCCTCAGTTTTTATTTGCAATGGCTGCTGCTTCAACAAATAATAATCTACTTACTCCAACTAGTATAGAACAACAATTTCAATTTTTAAATAATAATAGCAATAATAATGATAATTGTTTGGCTGCAGCTTCAATGTTGGCTTCACTGAATGCTGCTGCTGCTGCTTCAACAACAAATAATAATTGTGAAGCAAATAATGAAGCAAAATTAAATAATGCTTCAATTATGCCTTTATTATCATCATCTTCCCCAGCAGATATTTGTAAAACAACATCAATATCTCCTCCTTTAATAAAACGTTCTGCTAGTGGTGGTTCTTCTTCTGCTGCACATTCCCCTCCTTTAAATAATCGAAAAACAAAATCAAATATTAGCAGCAGTGGTGGTGATGTTGAAGCATTTTTGACAAAACAAGTAAAACATTAATTAAAACTTTAATTAAAACATCAAAACATTGATAAATAAAAATAAACTTGGACCAGAATATTTAATAAACATGTTTATTTAAATAAACTTGAAGCAGAAAATAAAAGAAAAATAAACTTGAAACAAAAGATTAATAAACAAAAATAAACTCAGAACAGAATATTTTAAAAACACAAACCAGAATTAAATACATGAATCAGAATTAACTCAAAACAATTAAATAAACCAGAATATTTAAATAAACATTGTTTTTTTGTAGCATTTTAATTTCTCTGATATTGCTTCACTTGCAACAAATCAACAACAACAATTATTACAATCTACTTCTGCTGCACTTATTAAAGCTGAAGAAGAAAGTAGTAATGATGCTGCTAATAATGTTGCTTCATCTTCTATTTTTCAACAATCATTTCCTCCATTTATTGTTAACGGTAAAAATAAAACTTGAAGCAAAACATTTAATAAATTAAAAGATAAACTTGTAAATCAGAATTTTAAATGAACATGGGGTTTTTAAATAAACTTGAAGCAAAACATTAATAAAATCACTACCAGAATTAAATTCGAACATGAACCAGAATTAAATAAAAACACGAATCAGAATATTAAACAAACATTAAAATAAACTTGAAACTAAAACATGTTTTTATTAGAAGCTCTTCAATCATTTCCTCCCTTGTTCTACCCTACATCTACAACTTCCAATAGCAACAATTCTGCCACAACATCTACAATAAATATTTCTTCTTCTGCTTCAACAGAACAACAACAGCTTCCTTCTACTTTAAATGATGTTACATCAGCTTTATTTCAACAATATTTAAATTCTTTAAATTATATTAATAGTGGAGAAGAAGGGGTAAAAACTGAAGCAAAAATTGACAACCACAAAATTGAGTTGAAGCAAGAAGAAATTAAGGAAGAAGAAAAAATTAGCAAATAAAAAATTTTTTTTTAATAATTTTAAATTTTAGGCAATACTCTTTTTTATTTTTTTTTTAAATTCTCTCATTTTTAAAATTAAATACTTACCACAAAAAAATTTATTTTTTTATAAAATACTTACACCACAAAACAACAACGCAATTAATTTTAAAATAAATTAATTATGAGCTTTAAATTACTGACCCTCGCCATTTTTATTTTATTTTTAAATTTCATTTTTGTAAAATATTTTTTTAATATTTTTGATATTAAAATAAAATTAAAATTTTTTAATTTTCTTATTTAAACTAAAAATAGAAACACTTTTTTAATTATTTTTTATTTGTTTGTTTTAATTTATTTTTTACAAGCGCAATTACAATTATTAAATCAAGTTGTAAATATATTAATTAAACTTTAATTAAATAAACTTGAAGCAAAACTTGAAAGAAGAAAAACCAGAAGAAAATAAACTTGAAGAAAATACAACCTGAATATGTAAATTAACGAAAATACAACTTGAGCAAAAACTTGAAGCAAAAACTTGAAGCACAACTTGAAGCAAAAACTTGAAGCAAAAAAACTAAAAACATATTTACTAAAATTGGAATTTTAATTTATTCATGAAGATGCTTCTATTTAAAATATTTTTTTGAATTTAAAGAAGCAAAAAATGTGATGAATCAAAAGGGGATGTTGATCGAAAAACGGACTGCATAATTATTTTAAAAGGCAAGTGCTGAATTTTTAATTTAGTTTAAAATATTCTCGTGATTAAGAAAGGGGTAATCTTTCATTTTTAATTTTTTTAGAAGTTTTTTTTTTTGATATCAAAAAAATTTTCAAAAATTATTTTTTTTAATTTTCCCCTTATTTTTAGGTAAAAAGCCATAAAAATGGCTTGGTTTATTTTTATTTTATTAATTAATTTTTTAAATTTTATTTTTATTAATGCTGGTTCTCCTTTAATTATACCAGGCTTCTTATATTTTTTTTTAAATTTTTTAAAAATTATTTTTATAGAGCCGTGCCAGGATGGGTTATTCTACTACCAACACTACGCGGTTTACAGATGTGTTGATGGGCATAAAATGTTTCAAAGTTTGTTTTCAAGTTTTTACAAATTGTAAATGTTTCAAGTTTGTTTTTTACAAAACAAAGTTTGAGTTGTTTCAAGTTTTGTAATTAAATGAATGTTTTGTGGTTTTTATAAAACATGTTTTACAAAACAAGTTTTGTAAAACAAGTTTATATTTTTACAATTTGTAATTGCGCCAAGTTTATTTTCAAGTTTTTCTTTTTGTATTTACAATTTGTAAAAACAATTTGTAAAACAAGTTTTAATTACAATTTGTAATTGCTTCAAGTTTATTTTTGATTTTATAAAAAGTTTTACAAATTGTAATTACAAAACTTAAGTTTTCATTGCAAAACAAATTTTCTAATTTACAATTTGTAATTGCTTCAAGTTTATTATTTTCAGATTGCGTACCATTAAATGAACCTCATTCACTAGCAATCGCAATTAATTCAACTTTAATAACTCCACATTTTCGTTCTATTTGTGTTCAATATGCTCCTGACAGTGTTCAATTTTTACGAACACGTGAGTATTTTTAAAATAAAAATTAAAAAAAATATTTTTTATTTTTAAAGATTGTGTTGAAGGGACCAGATTTATGAAGCCAAACACAAATTTAGAATTTTCAAATCGCCGTGTTGAATGTTTATTTGATCGAAATATTCAAACTCTTCGTAAAGTGGTTGTTCGAAAACGACGTAAAATTAAATTTAATTTTTAAAAATTTTGTTTAAAAGTTCGTCGAGTATGCCGTCACAAAAAGGATGCAAAGGTGGAAGAAAATGTTCATTATATTTGTAAAAACAATGCTTATTGGCCTGACTGTTAGTTTAAATTTTTTTAATTAAAAAAAATATTTGGGCTCCGATTATGCCAAACACATATTTTGCCAATAAAGCTAAAAACCCACGTTTTGTCAAATTGTATTATTGACAAAATGTATAGTTTTACCCTTATTGGCAAAATGTGGTATTGGCATAATATGGAAAGCATGGGACAGTAAAGAGTTCATTTGACATTATGGCAATATTTTCCCTTATTACCATTTATAGAAATATATATTCTGAAAAATAAACTCGAGAAAAATTCAAAGTGGTGAAAAGAAGTAAAAATGTCATTTTGTTAACTAATTTCTTTTTTTCTCTTTCTCTTTCTTATTTTTACGCGTACTCTTTTACAAATTAGTTTTGAAAATTCTTTCTACAAAACAAAGTTTGAATTGTAATTTAAAGTTTGTGAATAAGTTTTAGGGGTTATAATTGCAAAACTTAAGTTTATTTGTGTTTTTACAATTTTGTGTTTTTACAATACAATTGGTTACTAAACAAAACTTAAAAACTTAAGTTTTCAAGTTTATTTAAGTTTAAGCTTTAAAATGTGTTTTTATAATTGTGAAACTTGTTTTAATAAAACTTAAGTTTTCAAGTTTAAACTTTTCTCAATTTTTTCTTTCTCTTTCAGACTGTGTTGGTGCAGATGCTTTAGACGGTTCTGAAATACAAATAAAATTTGGGGAACAAAAATCGGATGGAATTAATTATATTTATGAATGTAAAATAAACAAGGCTGCAACAACTACAACAACAAATATAACAACAGCAATTACAACAAACAAGCGGTCAAAAAATAAAAAGAAGAAGAGAATACCTGATGTTGTTAATCTTGGACCGATTAGTTTGCTTTTTTCTTAATTTCTTCTCTGCCATATTACGCCAATTCCACATTTTGCCAATAAGACTAAAACCCCACATTTTGTCAAATTAACTTTAGTGACAAAATGTGTGTTTTTACCCTTGTTGGCAAAATGTGGTTTAAGCAGAATATGAAACTAGGCTCTCAAAAATTTCTCAATTTTTTTTTAAATTTTTTCACATTTTTTCCAGAATGTATTCATTATTTTAATTCATCATCAATACCAACTTTAATTGAAATTGGCTATCAATTGGAATTTATTGAAGGAAATGTAATTATTTATTGTTTGAACAATTCTGGTTGGGCTAAGAAATTGGTAGTTCCTTTAGGTTTGGATTTCTTTTAATTTTTTTCTACAAATTTTTGAAGCCCCTCAAGTCAGCGTTGAATGTCTTTACCCTTTTGGAAGTCTAAACCTCTATTCTTGCCATGGATTGATTTATAGTTGGTCTTTACTTAGTCAAATTCAATTGCTTGGATGTGTTGACCCAATGAATTTACAGAATTGGATACCTTTGGGTAGCAACTATACAAATATTGATGGGGATGTTTTGGAATGCAGAAAGGAAGGATTGGTTTATGTCGGTTAGTTTTGAGATTTTTTAATGAGGATTTGGTAATAATCTTAAGTGGGAGGGAAAAGGTTGAGGAGGCATATCACCCCAGGGTTGCATCCACATTCTCCTATTTCCTTTTAGTTGGACCTTCCGGCAGTGAGACCTCCTGATGATTTTCTCTGGGGACCTTGTGGCAGTTGTCAGTAGCCACGTAAAGGGTGTTCTACCGACTGTTGTGAAATAACGGGACGCTGCTTTCACCTTCCCTTTTTAATGTATCCTAAACCTCCGTCTACCTAGCCAGCTGGGATCTTTTCCTACTTCCTTCCATAACTTAATATTTTTACGTTTTCTAAATTAATTAATTCAAATTTTTTTATTAGGCTGCAAAAGCTCTACAGGAAAATACTTAAAAATTGGTGAAAATGAAGGCAATCCAATTGGTGGTGGAATTGGAATATTTGAAAAATGTGAAGCAGACAAAGGATTAATTAAATATCACAGTTAATTTAAATAAAATTGAAAAAAGAATTCATAATATCTCCCATACTCTGATTTTGGTGAATTTTTTTTCACTTGAAAGAGCTCGACGAGCTTGAGTCGATTGACATCTAAATTAAGCTCTTGACTCAATTATGTATTAGCAAAGTTGTGGTCTCTTTCGGAATGGCTCTTTTGAATGTCATTGTTTGTCCAAATCGAAGTATGGGAGAGATACTCGACGAAATTTTACCTTAAAAAAATTAAAAAAAATTTTACTTTTTAAGAATTTAATTGCCTTTTTGGTGATAATATTATTTTGCCTGGACATTATTTTGTTTTGTCAGTTAAAGGGGCTAGCAATTTAAAATTGAGAATTGCTTGTGAAAGACAACGCTTGTTTTTGGGAAATGAATTGATTGAAAATTTAAATCATAAAGGTTTTTTAAATATTTTTTGGAAAAATTTAAATGTTATTTTTTAGCCTTTTGGTATGTTCTTACTCACAAAGGTTAATTTTATAAAATATTTTTTACTAGAAAAACTTTTATGGTGGGGGACAAATATTTTACAATTCTGAAACGTGGGGAAGACCTAAAATTGATTTTTTATGTCCAATTATTTTGAATCTAATTTAACTTGATTTGATCTTTATGTTAAGTGCTGGGCTCTCCAACCTTGTTTTTTTACCTTTTTTTGAAAAATCTTTTTAATTTTTTCCGACCTTTCCAACGACTCTTATTTCAGCTCCGGGGAGGGAGAGTTCAATTTCCTAACTCCCTGGCTCTATATAGAATTGGCTCTTCGGAGCTAATGCTTCCTGCGCTGATTTTATGATCTATCTGTCTTTAAAAAATCATAAAATTTTTTTAATTTTATAGATTGTATTGATGATTATGGAAGTATCATTCCACTGGGTGGATATGGAATATATAATAATGTAAGAGTGGAAATATATGTCCGTTAAAAATTTTTTTAGCTCACAGCAGAATTTTGCAGACCAAGTGGAGTACAAATTGAAAAGCCTATTGGATGCAAATTTGGTTCAAAAAATTTATTACCAAGAGAGCAAATGGTTAATAGTCAAGATATACTTGAATGTTTACCTAATGGACAACTGGTTAAAATTGGCTGTTATTTGGAATCTTTGAATATTACAATGGCTTTAGGTTTGGTTTTAATTTTTTTATTTAAATTTTTTACAATTCTAACTCATTTTATTTTTTGGATTGGAATTAGAAATTGGGAACGGATTACCTTGAACTCAAACTTTTTTCTCCCCGAAAACCGATCAGAAGAAAATTTTGAAAACTCAATCCGAAACTGATCCGACTTTTTCCAATCCATTCCATTACTGGTTGGCGTGTTCGTAACCTGTAAAATTTTCAAGGAGAAATTTCCAATTTTGAGGTTTTTCCCTGGCTATTTTTTAATTTTCACACTTAAAGTTTTTCAATTGATTTTTTTAAATTTTTAAGGACAAATTGAACCTTTACCCAAAAATCACAATATTTTAATTCAATGCCAAATTAATTCTACTGGAATATCTTTTACAAATGGAGGTTTTTATTTAAAAATAATCTTTAAAAATTTTTAAATTTATTTTAAAGTCAAAAATTGTATAAAAGAAGAAACTGGAGAAGAATTTTTATTTGGTTCAAAGGATGAGGATTCTGATTCTATTCGTGTATGTACTCGAAAAAGTGATTTGTCTAATTTGCATGGAGTGTGGGAATTGACTCGTAAATTTTTCAAAATTAAAATTTTTTTATTTTTTTCGGATGTTTGTAAGGTTTTTTTTCTAATTTTTTAATAGGATTTGGTTTTATTTTCTAATAATTTTATTTGATTTTTATTTATGCCCGCAAGAAAATCTCTTCTCAAAAATTTTTTTTAATTTTTGCGGGTATATTTCAAAAAAATTTTTTGGGTATTTTTTGTGGTGGTTACTTTTTTTTCTAATTTTATTTTTGGTCGGGCAGGTATAAAAAAAAATTTTTTTTGAAATTAATAGATATGTAAGTAATGTCCAAAAATATTTAAAGAAATTTTTTTTTAATTTTTTTATTTTTTTAGATTGCCTTTTTGGCACAATTAAAGTCCCTCGTGGAAGCTGCTTTTTTAATAAAACAACGGAAGAAAATAATCAAAATAATTCTACTTGTAATTTAAATGATTCAAAAGGTGTATATAAATTATGTGAACAGGACAAAAATTTTAAACCAATATTTTTGGATGCTTCTTTTGAATATTGCTCTCCAAGTCAAAATATAAAAGCAACAGATTTAAATGGACAAATAATAAATACACAAATTGAGGAGTTTAAACAAACAAGTTTTGAATGTAATTATTCTGATGTAAGTTTTGTTTTGTTGTAATTTAATTCTAATTTTTAAAAACATCGGAATGTTTTTGTTTTTAAATTCTGATGTTCGGAATTAATTCTGATTTTTAAAAACAAATGTTTTTGTTTTCAAATTTTGATGTTTTGTTGTAATTTAATTCTGATTTTTTTATTAAAATTTGTTTTACAATTCCAACTTGAATTTAATTAAGTTTTAAGTTTTTACAATTCAAGTTTTACAAATTCAAGTTGGAATTGTAAAGAAAAATAAAATAAAAATCAGAATTTGTAAATTTTGTTTAATTCTGTTTTTTCTTTATTAAAATATAATTCCTAATTTTTTTTCTAGTGGAGACCCAAACCTTTACCTGTTGAATTAGAAAATGCTTCAGAAGAAGAAGAAATTGATGAATATATTGATGATGAGGAATATTCTGAAGAAGAGGAAGAAGAATTAAAAACAGCAGAAGAAATTGAAGAAGTAGAGGAAGAAAAAGAAAATAAATTTTTAAAAAAACAAAGCAAAATTCAAAATAAATTAATGATGGAAGAAGAAATTGGAGGGATTAGAATAAAAGATCCAACATTGGAAGAAATTGTAGAAGAAGAACAAAATGAACTGTTGGAAGCTCCAAAAGAAGAAGAAAATAAAACAAGCAAAACATTTGAAGAAACATTGTTGTTGGATAAATTTAAACTTGAAAACATGACTACAACAACATTAGCAACAATATTAACAACAACAAAACAAAGTTTGGAAACAACAACAGAAGAAAATAAACTTGAAGCAACAACAACAGAAAACAAACTTGAATATTTGTTGGAAATAAACATGGAAAACAACAACAAACTTGAAACAACAACAGAACAAAACAAACTTGAAAACATTAATTTAACAACACAAACATCAAAACGTTATATTCCAACAACATCAGAACAAACACCAGAACAAACAACACAACAACAAACAAACACAACAAACAACATGTTTGTTTTGTCTAATGAAACAATACTTGAAGAATTTGAAGAGGAAATAATTGAAGAATTGTCTACAATAAAACCTTCTATACAAGAAGGAAAGGTGACAAATTTAATTAATTTTTATATATTTTTAGTTGCAATTTTTATTTTATTTTTTATTTTAATATTGTCTAAAATTATGTTGCGTTCATGCAAATAAATTTTAAAACAAACATTTGTTGAAACAAACCAAATCAGAATTAGTTTGAAACATATTTAAATCAGAATTTAATTTGAACATGTTTGAATAAGAAAGATAACAGATCAGAATTTTTTAAAAACAGACCAGAATTTTTTAAAAACAAACCAGAATTTTTAAAAACAAACCAGAATTTTTATCAGAATTTTATTCGAACATGCTTTAGATTAATAATAAAACAAATCAGAATATAAACCAGAATTTTATTCAAACATGTTTGAATAATAATTAAACAAATCAGAATTTAAACCAGAATTTTGAACAAACAACAAACTTCAAAACAACAACACAATTACCTCCAATTTCATCAGAATTCGAAGAAACATTTCAACTGGATGAAGTTCGTGAAGAAGTTGTATGTTTAAATAAACAAAAACATTAAATGTTTTTACAATTTTCAGAAGCCTATCCAAACAACAACTACAACAAATGTTTTACTAGAAGGTTATGTTGAGGAAATAATTTTAGAACAACAACAAACAACAACACAGCTTCCCTTGTTTTTGCTTCCAACAACACCAGAACAACAACAAACATTAATAAATAAATCAGAAACTAGCAGCAATGTTTCAATTGTTAAAAACAAAGAAGAGATAGGCGACAACACAAAGAACGATAAAATAATAATTACTACTTTTTTTAATACAGTGGATGAGAAGATAATTCCTGCAGAAGTTCAACCTATTCCACCTCCACCTACTTATGATTATAATAAAGAATTGGATGTGTTGGTAGAATTTAATTTGGAAAAGACGTTGAAGAGGAAGGAATGTGAAGATAATGAAGAAAATAATAAAGGTGGGGATGACTTAGAAATTTTTTTTGAAATTTTCTTTCAGTTTTTGAGTGTAAAAACAGACTTTCCGAACATTTCTGTTCTGCTTTCAAGTCCATGTGTCTTTTCCCAACTGGCGATTCTGCTATTCACTCAGTTGCTTTAATCCATACTCTTCATTATTTACGTCATTTTATTGGTGGAGGAAATATGAGGGTAAATAATTTAAATTTTAAAAATTTTATAAACTATTTCCTTCTAAATTTAGGCAAATTTACGTTTCGCTGCAAATTTTTTGGAAACTGGACTTGCACAAACACTTGTTGATCGACAAGAAATTAATAGAATGATTATTGTGAGTTTAAATATTTTAAGAGATATATAATTGTAAAATTAAATTAAATAGGACTGATAAGATTTGATTAGTTAGTCCTTAAGCGATTGTTAAGTGTGGAAGATCGTTGGGTCAAACTCTTTTGAAACTTAATCTTTTCTTATGATTCGTATATATCAATCGAAAGCCCTGGGTGTCCTGAGTATTTTTCCCAATAGGACTAATAAAATCGAATCAGTCCTTAAAGAGTTATCAGGTGATAGTTTCAGAAGATAATGACTTCTCCGAACTTCAATCATTTCTTATGTTTTATATATCAATCGATAGCTCTTAATGTCTCTAATATTTTTCCCAACAGAACTGATTAGTCGGATCAATGCTCAAAGAGTTATCAGTTAATAAGTCCAGAGTATCGTGTCTCTCGTCTTATTGAGTCATTTACTGTTTTGTATGATGGTCTGCTTAGATTAATCCTTTAAGCTAAAATAATCCTCACATTCAGAGCTTTCGATTAATATAATAACCAGTTAAAATCAGTTAAGAATTAAAAAGTTATGGCCCAAAATATGGCCATTAATTGCTTGAAAAAAATTCTCAAAATTTTAGAAAATTGGAGACCTACTAAACCTTTTCCCTTCTGAAGATGATTTGGCTGAATTGTTACTTTCTGCTGAAGGAGGTCCCATAATTGAAAGAATGCTTCAACTCAAAAAAGAAAGTGTTTATCAATGTGGAATATCTCGAATAAAGTTGAGAATTTCTTTTAAATTTAAATCAAAAATTAATTCTTTTCGCAGTTGTAATTCTCCTACTACAAATGATCTTCCTTCATTAACAATTAATTTGTCAAAAGTTTTGAATTGCAAAAGAAAGTGGCAAAGCTGTTTAAGGGTGGCTAATGCAAAATTGGCCAAGGAATTTGGTAGAGGAATTTTTTTAAAGGGGTTTTTAGACTTGTATTTCGAACCTCAGGGTGTAAGGTACACTTTTTGGACTGAATAAGTGTCTCTTATAATGAAGGGTCTTTTAAATAGGGGGTATCTTTTAGAAGACTCCTCTACCTCTCCTATAAGCTCTTTAATCAGTTCATTACCTTGTATGAGCTCCTAACAGAAAATGTTTTTTATAATGAAGTGTCTTTTAAATAGAGGGTGGGTATCATTTAGAAGTCTCTTCCTCTACATCCATTAATATCTCACCTACTAACTACTTGCCCAGTAGGAGCTACCTTTAATCGTGTAACGGTGACTCATCGTGTAACGGTGACTCATCGTGTAACGGTGACTCATCGTGTAACGGTGATTCATCGTGTAACGGTGATTCATCGTGTAACGGTGACTCATCGTGTAACGGTGATTCATCGTGTAACGGTGATTCATCGTGTAACGGTGACTCATCGTGTAACGGTGACTCATCGTGTAACGGTGATTCATCGTGTAACGGTGATTCATCGTGTAACGGTGATTCATCGTGTAACGGTGATTCATCGTGTAACGGTGATTCATCGTGTAACGGTGATTCATCGTGTAACGGTGACTCATCGTGTAACGGTGACTCATCGTGTAACGGTGATTCATCGTGTAACGGTGACTCATCGTGTAACGGTGACTCATCGTGTAACGGTGATTCATCGTGTAACGGTGATTCATCGTGTAACGGTGATTCATCGTGTAACGGTGACTCATCGTGTAACGGTGACTCATCGTGTAACGGTGATTCATCGTGTAACGGTGATTCATCGTGTAACGGTGATTCATCGTGTAACGGTGACTCATCGTGTAACGGTGACTCATCGTGTAACGGTGATTCATCGTGTAACGGTGACTCATCGTGTAACGGTGACTCATCGTGTAACGGTGATTCATCGTGTAACGGTGACTCATCGTGTAACGGTGACTCATCGTGTAACGGTGATTCATCGTGTAACGGTGACTCATCGTGTAACGGTGACTCATCGTGTAACGGTGACTCATCGTGTAACGGTGATTCATCGTGTAACGGTGACTCATCGTGTAACGGTGACTCATCGTGTAACGGTGATTCATCGTGTAACGGTGATTCATCGTGTAACGGTGACTCATCGTGTAACGGTGACTCATCGTGTAACGGTGATTCATCGTGTAACGGTGACTCATCGTGTAACGGTGACTCATCGTGTAACGGTGACTCATCGTGTAACGGTGATTCATCGTGTAACGGTGACTCATCGTGTAACGGTGACTCATCGTGTAACGGTGATTCATCGTGTAACGGTGATTCATCGTGTAACGGTGACTCATCGTGTAACGGTGATTCATCGTGTAACGGTGACTCATCGTGTAACGGTGACTCATCGTGTAACGGTGACTCATCGTGTAACGGTGACTCATCGTGTAACGGTGACTCATCGTGTAACGGTGACTCATCGTGTAACGGTGATTCATCGTGTAACGGTGATTCATCGTGTAACGGTGACTCATCGTGTAACGGTGATTCATCGTGTAACGGTGATTCATCGTGTAACGGTGACTCATCGTGTAACGGTGACTCATCGTGTAACGGTGACTCATCGTGTAACGGTGATTCATCGTGTAACGGTGACTCATCGTGTAACGGTGACTCATCGTGTAACGGTGACTCATCGTGTAACGGTGATTCATCGTGTAACGGTGATTCATCGTGTAACGGTGACTCATCGTGTAACGGTGACTCATCGTGTAACGGTGACTCATCGTGTAACGGTGACTCATCGTGTAACGGTGACTCATCGTGTAACGGTGATTCATCGTGTAACGGTGATTCATCGTGTAACGGTGATTCATCGTGTAACGGTGACTCATCGTGTAACGGTGATTCATCGTGTAACGGTGACTCATCGTGTAACGGTGACTCATCGTGTAACGGTGATTCATCGTGTAACGGTGACTCATCGTGTAACGGTGACTCATCGTGTAACGGTGATTCATCGTGTAACGGTGACTCATCGTGTAACGGTGACTCATCGTGTAACGGTGATTCATCGTGTAACGGTGATTCATCGTGTAACGGTGACTCATCGTGTAACGGTGACTCATCGTGTAACGGTGACTCATCGTGTAACGGTGACTCATCGTGTAACGGTGATTCATCGTGTAACGGTGATTCATCGTGTAACGGTGACTCATCGTGTAACGGTGACTCATCGTGTAACGGTGACTCATCGTGTAACGGTGATTCATCGTGTAACGGTGACTCATCGTGTAACGGTGACTCATCGTGTAACGGTGACTCATCGTGTAACGGTGACTCATCGTGTAACGGTGATTCATCGTGTAACGGTGATTCATCGTGTAACGGTGACTCATCGTGTAACGGTGACTCATCGTGTAACGGTGACTCATCGTGTAACGGTGACTCATCGTGTAACGGTGACTCATCGTGTAACGGTGACTCATCGTGTAACGGTGACTCATCGTGTAACGGTGATTCATCGTGTAACGGTGACTCATCGTGTAACGGTGACTCATCGTGTAACGGTGATTCATCGTGTAACGGTGACTCATCGTGTAACGGTGACTCATCGTGTAACGGTGACTCATCGTGTAACGGTGACTCATCGTGTAACGGTGATTCATCGTGTAACGGTGACTCATCGTGTAAAATGTGACTCATCGTGTAACGGTGACTCATCGTGTAACGGTGATTCATCGTGTAACGGTGACTCATCGTGTAAAATGTGACTCATCGTGTAACGGTGACTCATCGTGTAACGGTGATTCATCGTGTAAAATGTGACTCATCGTGTAACGGTGATTCATCGTGTAACGGTGATTCATCGTGTAACGGTGACTCATCGTGTAACGGTGACTCATCGTGTAACGGTGACTCATCGTGTAACGGTGACTCATCGTGTAACGGTGATTCATCGTGTAACGGTGACTCATCGTGTAACGGTGACTCATCGTGTAACGGTGATTCATCGTGTAACGGTGATTCATCGTGTAACGGTGACTCATCGTGTAACGGTGACTCATCGTGTAACGGTTTTAAATTTAATTTCGCCTTTCGAGTTTCGCTTTTTAAAATCCGTTTCAGCACACCCCTGCTACAGGGACGCTTTATAAATTCCCTGAAGGTAAAAGTATCTTAAGCTCAGGGTCTCCTCTATTGGGTGTACCCTATATAGAGGTACATCTATATTTTCTATAAATTCCTTTTTAAGAACTTCTCCTTTGGCATTTCCGCGCTCAACTACTCCCGTACCCTCATGGAGCAATTTGGCTGCTTTGTTCGAAAACTTGTGGTAGATGTTTGCCTGTGGCCATAGCTGATGGAAATATTGAAAGCTGGAAGGAAGAAAATCCAAATTTAATTGAAATAAATAAATGAATATTTAAAATTATGAAAAAGATGTAAATAAATTCTCTGAAATTGAATAAATGAACTTCATCTTGAAAATACGGTTATGGGCATTTTGTCGCATTCATAATAAGGAGACATTTTGTCGCGTTACTAACTAAGGGACATTTTGTCGTATTCACAACATAAATTTTTTAAATTCAAAAAATCGATAAAATCAATACTAATCAATAATTTATTTTTTAAAAATTTTTAAAATTCAAAAAATCAATATCAATCGATAAAATCAATACTAATCAATATATCGATTTTTTAAAATTGTAAAAATTTTTAAATTTCAAAAAATCAATATCAATCGATAAAATCAATACTAATCGATATATCGATTTTTTTAAAATTGTAAAAATTTTTAAAATTCAAAAAATCAATATCAATCGATAAAATCAATACTAATCAATATATCGATTTTTTTAAAATTGTAAAAATTTTTAAAATTCAAAAAATCGATACTAATCGATAAAATCAATACTAATCAATATATCGATTTTTTTTAAATTGTAAATATTTTTAAAATTCAAAAAATCGATACTAATCGATAAAATCAATACTAATCGATATATCGATTTTTTTTTAAATTGTAAAAATTTTTAAAATTCAAAAAATCGATACTAATCGATAAAATCAATACTAATCAATACTAATCGATAATTTATTTTTTAAAAATTTTTTAAATTAAAAAATCGATACTAATCGATAAAATCAATACTAATCGATATATCGATTTTTTTAAAATTTTTAAAATTCAAAACAGATATAATTTTATCCACAATCAATGAAAATACATGTATATTTAATTCAATGAGTTTCAATATTAAATAAACGTTCTTTAATCCCAAGAAAAGCCAGTAATGCAAATAAAGCAACAACAAGCTATTTATAATTGAAAAATGAAATGAAATTTTTAAATTTACCAATTGCATATATTCAGCAAATAAAAATGACAAGGAAATGGCTACTTCTTCCGAGGAAGATTTTTGCATTTTAATTTAGACAAGTGTTTAATTAATTAATATTTTCCGGAAAATATGGAACTTTAAATATATTTGCTGTAAAATACAAAATATTAATAAAATGTTTCCGGAAAATATATAATAAATTGTTCAGAAAAAGAATAAACAAAGTTGTGTATTTTCCGGAAAAGTATAACTCTGAAATATGTCCCGGAAAAAGTATAACTATAAAATATGTTCCGGAAAATGTATATTAGTATATATCTTTCCGGAAGAGTACGACTAAAAAAGTATCTTTCCGGAAAATGTATAACTCTAAAATAAAAATCTTTCCGGAAAATGTATAACTATGAAATACTGTTCCGGAAAATACACAATTTAATACATTAATATATGGATGAGTTTTGTGTGCACATTTTAATATGTGCGCGATTAAAGTATTGATGATTGACCCAGATTTAAAAATAAATAGAAGAGAAATACAAGTTTAGAGAGATTTGTTTGAGAAGAATAAAAGAAGATTAATATAATCAATATTTAAATAAAGAATATTTGAAAAAAAGAACACAAGTCTGCACAGTTGAAGTCCTTTTTGGATCACAATTTATTATCAGTCCATAACTCTTTAAGGACTGAAAGGATCTTATCAGTTCCCTTGGAAATAATGCTCAGCAATCTCAGGGCTTTCGATTGATATATAAATCACGAGAAAGGATTAAATTTTAAAGAAGTTATGGCCCAAAAAATAATCGAAAATCACTATCTTTCGGACTTATCAACCCATATCTTTTTAAGGACTGATCAGATCTTATCGTCCCAGCAGGAAAAATAATCAATAAACCCAGGGCTTTCGATTGATATATAAATCATGAGAGTTCGAAAAAAATTCAAAAAAGTTAAGACATAAAAACAAACACAACCGTGCAGACTTGCACATGACACAAAATTGAATTAATTTTTAAATTTCCTTTTCCATTTCTTTTTAATTCTAAACTTACTGCTTGGAGTAAATCTACGATGACGCATATTTAATTTGACAAAATTACCTCCATTTTGTTTTTTGGTTGTTGTTGTTCTCTTTTTTGTTGGATATTTTTTGATTTTATTTGAAGTTGTTTGCTCTTCTTCTTTCAATTTTTCTTCCTCATCATCATCGTCTTCAATCTCTTCTTCATTTTTGTTCTCTCCATCAAATTCTTCTTTATCTTCTTCCTCATCAGAATCTTTTTCTAAAAATTTTTAAAAATAAAAATTTTTGTTTGGAAAATATGACAGTGAACTAACCTAGGAATTAGTGGAATTGCATCCACTCCCCAACCCCCTCCTACATTTTAAAAAGTCGTCGGAACATGGAAATAACTGAGTTGAGAAAAAAGTTAGGTCGAGTTTTGAGTAACCCTCCTATACATTCCTGAAATGGAAGGCTAAAGCCAAAAATAGGTTAATTATTCAAAGCGTTTAACTTACTAGACGAAGGGCTGTACGTGATAGGTGAAGGCGCTAGCAATAACTGCCCCAGGAAAAAGCTGGACCGATGCCTGCCTGGGCTGGGTCCTTGTGAATATTAGAAGTAAATAGAGACCCACAATAACCCCATCAAAAAGATCTTAAGAATAAAAACAAAACCTGGAGTCATCAGCAATAAATTTCCAATATTTTTGCAGATAACAGATTGTTTTAGCATCCGAGCTGGTGAAGGTGTTTTTAAGCAATTTTTGTTGACATTTGAAGAAGGAGAAGACAGGAAGCCTTTCCATTGTTGTTTTAATGGAGAAATGAAGGATTCGTCAATTGGAGGGCGTTGAAATAAATATTTGTTTGTTGAAGACAAGTTTGTAGTTGCTGGTCCAGATTGTTGACGGAAGAAGTCCTCACAAGTGTTTGTTGACTAAAAATTTTTTTAGAATTAATTGAGATCTATTTTTAACTCTGACCCCAAGTCTAAATTTTTGTTGGAGAAATGAATCCCAAGTTTAACCTAGGAAATGTTTTTGAACAAACATTTAGTTTATCTAGCATACCGACAGCTTTTAAAGGATGGATTTTCGACACTCCGACCCTTCGGATCGTCCCAAAAAAAGGGAGAAACCACATCATTTTAATAGAACCCTTCTAATTATGGACTGGCCTTCAAATCCTTTCAATAAAATTTCGAGAAGACAGTCCAAAAACCCCAAAAGTTACCCAAAAATGAATAAAAAAGATTAACCATTTTAGCTCTTCTCTTCACTGGAGACATAAATTCTTCATCTTTTAATTCATTCGGCTTCAAGATTAATTTTTTGCGTTTTAGAGGTGTTGATTTATTGTTGTTGTTGAACATTTTTTAGTAAAATATTTTTTGAAAAAACTAAAAAAATAAAAGAAGATTATTTCATTTTAATTCAGAAAAAAGACACGAAAAGAGTGGGGAACTTATCTCAAAAAAATTGGAGTTTAATAAAAGGGAATGTATTTTCTGGTAAAAAGTTTCCCAGAAAATATTAGAGTTTTTCCGGATACTTCATTATTTCCAGAAAATGTGATAATTTCAGACAATGTAATTTCCGGAAGAATATAATAAAATGTATTTTCCGGAAATTATTTTAGTCTTTAATAGGTAATGGGGCTAGTGGAAGGTTGATATGTTCTTGGACACTCCGCGAGTTAGGACAAACAGTAATTTAAAAAACCTCCATCACCGGGCAAATTAACAAAGTAATTTGTACATCTTCATTTGACAAGCAAAACAGGCCTTGAAGGGCACAAAGCCACAGCAAACCGTCCAAAGGTTTCCTAAAAAATGGAATTTTATTTCAACAGAATAAACCAAACAAAACCTGACTAAACTGCAATTTCTAATCTGTAATCGAAACCAAAGACATTCAAGATGGAAGCCAAGCAAGTACATCATACACAAAACTGCATTTTGAGTTAATGCCAAGTCCTAAAAATGTTTAAAAAACCCTTCCCTCCTCCAGATAAAAGCCAGGGATTTAAGTGGACTTATTTGCGGACAAAACTTGCGGATGTTTAAAAAATTAAAAAACAAACATTACTTATTGCCACGACGTCCACTTGCATCATGATGAGAACGGGCACCACCATGAAGAGCATTGCCACCAGCAGGAAGAGATAGGCCAACCCAATGTGACCCACAGTCAAACACCAATGGGGACCACAGTCAATCAACAATGGGGACCACAGTCAATCAACAATGGGACCACGAGGGCCACAAGTCAATCACCAAGGGGGTCCACCAAGTCAATCACCAAGGGGGTACACCAAGTCATTCACCAATGGGGGCCACATATGAAGAGCATTGCCACCAGCAGGAAGAGAAAGGCCAACCCAATGTGACCCACAGTCAAACACCAATGGGGACCACAGTCAATCAACAATGGGGACCACAGTCAATCAACAATGGGACCACGAGGGCCACAAGTCAATCACCAAGGGGGTCCACCAAGTCAATCACCAAGGGGGTCCACCAAGTCATTCACCAATGGGGGCCACATATGAAGAGCATTGCCACCAGCAGGAAGAGAAAGGCCAACCCAATGTGACCCACAGTCAAACACCAATGGGGACCACAGTCAATCAACAATGGGGACCACAGTCAATCAACAATGAGACCACGAGGGCCACAAGTCAATCACCAAGGGGGTCCACCAAGTCAATCACCAAGGGGGTCCACCAAGTCATTCACCAATGGGGGCCACATATGAAGAGCATTGCCACCAGCAGGAAGAGAAAGGCCAACCACCATGAAGAGCAAGAATTGCTGAAGTAAATAAAAACATTATATTGTTTTAGTGGATGAACACAAGTTTTGTCCGCAAATACCCCCCCCCCCCATTTAAGGATTAAACCCTTTTCTTTTTCTCTTGCAGGTGTGGAGTTGTTGCAGGAGTGCTACATAATGTTGTCCGGCCTTTGCTTAGTTTCCTTCTTGATGTCCTTTGTGCGCAGTTTCTATAAAAGGAAAAAATTCATTTAAAAAAAAATTTTTTATTGGCATAAAAACGCTCCTAGAACACCCCGTTCACTTTTAAGCCTGACAACTCATTTGTTGTGTCAGCAAATGGAAAAGATCGGAGGACAGAAGGGACATTGATTCTTAACAACCTGGGTACTTATAGGGTTTGTATCCGCTGGAAAAAATTAATTTATTTTTTGTAAAAATGGTCAGTGAAAAAGTTTAACATATTTGCCTGCAGTCACATTCATTCACTCACTCTTCCTTCAATTCTGGCAATTTTTTGTTTTCGATTGCCTGTCTCACACATCTTGCCCTTGTTATTTGTAAATGGATGAATAAATCGATGTTTATTTCTTATAATTAAAGATGGTTACAAATGAAAATTGCCAGAATTGAAGGAAGAGTGAGTGAATAAATGTGACTACAAGCAAATATGTTAAACTTTTTCACTGACCATTTTTACAAAAAATAAATTAATTTTTTCCAGCGGATACAAACCCTATAAGTACCACAACCTGATACCCCATCAACAGACAGGATCGAGACAAGGGATCTATGCCTGACAGAAGATAAGCTCTTTCACAAGCTAAAAAGTCCCCTCCCGATCCCCAGAAAGGACCACAAAGATTAACAAAAAAAAAAAACAAAACCTGAAGTCGTCAGCAACAAATTCCCAATATTTTTACAGATTGTTTCATCATTCAAGCAGGTGAAGGTGTTTTGAAACAATTTCTGTTGACATCTGAAGGCATCTTGTCTTCATCAAATTCTTCTTCTTCTTACTCCTCAGAATCTTTCTTTACAATCTTAAAAATAAAATTTATTTTGATTGGAAAAACAAGTTAGAGGAGATAGGGGTTACCCCATAACTTTAGCCACAACTTTATTCCTAGTAAGTTTCCCATTTTTAAACAGATGGGAAAAGATGGCTCCTAGAACAGCCGCTCACTGATAAACTTGACTCCGCAATTGTCTGTTGTGTCAGCAAAAGAAAAAAATCGGTGGACAGAATGAGGGAACATGGACTTGTATAACCTCGATGCACCATCGACAGATGATCAGGTGCATAACAAATGTGTCAGGTCCCAGGACCGAAACTAAGGACCGACGCTTGACAGAGAATAAGCTCTTTTAAAAGCTTACAATAAGATCCCCAGAAAGGACGACAAAGATAATCAAAAAAACCAAACCTGAAGTCATCAGCAACAAATTTCCAAGGCTTACTTCATCATTCGGGCTGGTGAAGGTGTTTTTAAGCAATTTTTGTTGACATTTGAAGCAGGTGAAGACCAGAATCCTTTCCATTGTTGTTTTGATGGAGAAATGAATGATTCATCAATTGGAGGGCGTTGAAATAAAAAGTTGTTTGTTGAAGATGAACTTGTTGTTGTTGTTGAAATACTTTGATGAAATAATTCTTCATCAATTTTTTAATTGCTAGTGGACTAAAAAAAATAATAAATTAATTACTCATCTTTGGACTCAGTCCACAAAAATGTTTTTCAAAAATGTGTAAACAAAAAAGGTTATTGAATGAACAAGAAAAGTGAACAAATCAATAACCCTTTCGCCTATTCAAAACAAAAAAGAAATCGAACGTCTCTCATGTTGTTGCATTATCCCTCTTCAATTATTGATTTTCTTCTCTGACCATTAATTAGACAACAAAATCGTGTACTGGTCAGAGAAGTCAAATTTATTTTTACCAACGGTGAAGTGAAGAAAAAACAAAATCTGACTTCTCTAACCACTTCATGATTTTGCTTGTCTAAGCAATGGTCAGAGAAGAAAATCAATAATTAAAGAGGGATAATGGAAAAATAAGAGAAGATGGACGGTTAGCGTAACTTTTCCACTTCTTTAATGTGGAGGGGACAGTTGACCTTAAAGGTGTAAGGGACAGTTGGCCTAAAGGTGTTAAAAGGAGTAAAGGTGAAGGGGACAGTTGACCGTCTTGCTTAAACCCAGTTCGAAGTCTCGAGCACTGTTGCTTCGAACTCTTCTTCATTTCCCTTTTAATTCAAAAAACTTTCAAAGTTACCTTCATTTTGTTGTTGGTGGTTGTTTTCTTCTTCCGTCAATTTTTCTTCTTCATCTTCCTCATCATCTCTAATTTCTTCTTCATTTTTCTCCCGTCTTCATCAAATTCTTCTTCTTCATCGTTTTCAGAATCGTTTTCTACAAAAATTTAAAAATAAAATTTTTTATTTGGAAAAATTTGGTAGAGGAGAAAGGGGGTTACTCCATAAATTTAGCCCAAAACTTTATTCCCAGTAAAAGTCCACATTAAAAAACAATATGTAGATGGAATACTCAGTTAATTTCTACTAAATTATGGTCATGCCTTTAGATTAACCCCTCAATGTAACCTAAAAACCTCAAGCTTTTCTGGACAGAACCTGCGGACAGAGTCTTTAAAAATCCATCAAAATCTACCCAAAAAATCAACAATAAAAAAAACAAACCATTTTAGCTCTCCTCTTCAATGGAGACAAAAATTCTTCATCATCTCTTTTAATTCATTCGGCTTCAAAATTAATTCTTTTTGCGTTTTAGAGGTGTTGATTTGTTGTTGTTGTTGTTGAACATTTTTTATTTATTTTAATTAAATTAATTTTTTTGTTGTTGTTGGCATCATTTTTAGACTTTTTATCTGAAAATTAAAAAGGATTATTCAAAAAATTTTGCAAAAAAAATAATTTTCAACAAAAAAATAAAAACACGCAAAGAAGGAAAATAAAAATTAAAAGAAAAAAAAAAGAAATTAAAAATAAAATTGGTATCCATTTTTACTACCTAAATTGTTTTTCTAATTTAAATAAATACGTAAATTAAAAATACATTTCCGTTAAAAAATTACCCTAAGACCACCCATGGAAGTTTTATTTAACACAAAAAAAATTTTTATTTTTAAATTTGTAAATTTTGTGGCAGGAAAAAATTTTTTTTAATTTAATTCCTAAAATCATTAAAAAATAATTTTTAAAAAATTTCTAAAAATTCCCCCCGTAAAAATGGGAAATTGCTTCAACAAAGATACACTAGATAAACAATTGATTGAGGTAAAAAATTATAAAAAATCATTAATAAAAATTTAGAAACAATTTTTTAAAGGATTTTAAAGAAGAAAAGAAGACATTAAAATTGCTTCTTTTAGGTATAAACTTTTAAAAAAATACAAAAAAATACAAAAAATACAATGTATTTTTAATTTAAAAAGGTGCTGCTGCAAGCGGAAAGAGCACAATGCTTAAACAAATGCAGTTTGTATTTTTTATTTGTTTTGTATTTTCCGGAAAAATACAATGAGTATATATTTTCCGGAAAGAGTATATTTCAGAGACTTTCCGGAAGACTAAAATATGAAAGAATGTATTTTCCGGAAACTTTTCCGGAAATTATTAAAATTATTTTTCCGGATTATTATTAACGGAAAAGGTATAACTCTGACAATATACTTTCCGGAAGCATATAATAGACTGTATATATTCCGGAATTATATCCTTCCGGAAAATTATAACAATTTTTTCCTTAAGAATACTACACACAAACAATTTCAATTCTGAAGAGGAAAGGATCAAGTGGCGAACAAATGTTCATTCCACCTTTGTTTTAGCTGTAGAACGGCTTCTACAAATTTCTAGCACTTTAATTGATAGATGGGATTTAACAGAGACTGAGGCATTTTTTGAAAAAATTTTCAAATTTTTTTAAATTTTTTTGAAGATGGCTATCGATGACTTAAGCCATTGTTTAACTTATTCAGAGCCTTTTCAACTCCCAAAATTTATTTTTGCCCTAAAACAATTTTGGACAGATCCAGCATTACACAGACAAGTGTTACCTAAACTTGGACAGTTTCATATGCAAGAATCTTTGCCACAGTTGAGAGATAAAATTAAAATTTTTTTCTTAAATTTCCCTAAATTTTCTCAGTTTCTTCAACTCCATAGACAGAATAAGTCAATCTAATTATGTCCCTACTATTCAGGATATTCTTTTATTAAGAGTTCCAACTAGTGGAATTGTTGAGGTAATAAAAAATATTTTTAAATTTCCAAAAAAAAATTTTTTTCAAAGGTCCAATTCAATGTAAATCGGTTTCCTTTTCGAGTATTTGATGTTGGAGGACAAGTAAGAAAAAAATATTAAACAGAACATATTTTCCGGAAATTATCAGAGTTATTTTTCCGGATATTATTATTAACGGATGTATTTTCCGGAATGAATTTTCCGGAAATTATTTTTCTTAAAATTATAGTTATTTTTCCGGATACTATTATTAACAGAAAATGTTACTTCAGATAATACTTTCCGAAAAAATAAAAATAAATAAAAATAGAATATTTGATATGTTGGAGGACGGGTAAGGCAAAAAAAAATAAGAATTTAAAAAAAATTCAAAAAGAAAATTTTTTTAAGAGAAATGAACGTCGAAAATGGATTCATTGTTTTGATGTACTATTAAAAAATTTGAATTTTAAATTAAAAAAAAATTTTTAAAGAACGTTCAAGCTATTATATTTGTTGCTGCAGTTAGTGAATTTGATCAAACACTCGAAGAGGATGAAAATACAGTAAAAACCCCCTCCAAAAATTTCAAAATTTTTTTAAAGAATCGCCTAATCGAATCCTTACATTTATTTAAATCAATTTGTATGGCCAAATGGTTTATTAACACTGGGATGATTTTATTTCTCAACAAAACTGATTTATTTGAACAAAAAATTGCTGGGAAGAAAAGTATAAAACAGCTATTCCCAAGCTATAGTGGTTGGAAATTAAAAATTTTAAACTCAAGACGGGATAAATTTTTAAAAATTCTTTTGGTACATTCGATAGAGAATAAAATTTTCTACAAGATAAAAAAGGAATTGAATCTCCAAATAAATTTTAAAAATAATTATGGCCAAAAAACTATCAAAAATACCCAAAAATGTCAGTTTTTCGACTACAACTTCTTCATGTATTAATCTAAAATTTTTATTTTCCACTATTTTGTAGCAAATTTAATCCTCTATCGAATGACCTAAAAATCTTTTCGAACGGTCCATCCATTCAAGAGTTATAAAGCCCACCCCTTCTTTGGCAGGAGGGTGGGTCTTGCCACATTTTAAAATTGAAAATTCCCCTCCCAACAGGTTCAAACAGCTATTCAGACCAATTAGATTTTATTCAACAAAATTTTTTGGCAATGAACTCAAACCCTAGCAAACAAGTTTACGCTCACAGAACATGCGCAACTAATACTGACCAAATGGAATTAGTGCTTAAAAATGTTTTTGAGCTAGTACTTGCTTCGCTTTATAATAAAGCTTCCATGTATTAAATTTCAAAACTATAAACAATTCTGTATAATTTATTTTTTTAAATTTATTCTAATAGTCGCTCATCCCCTCATAAAAACCACTCGCCTCTACATTTACTACTAGCTTTTTTTAATGGGCGTCTATTGGAATATTATATATTTTTTTATTTTTAAATAAATGTTTGACATGTCCTTTGTGTTAAAATCAAGAAAAAAAATTAGGAAAAAAATCAGAAAAAAATTAGAAAAAAATCAGAAAAAAATTAGAAAAAAATCACTAAAGATGCGGAAGAAAAACTAAAAAAAATTTCAAAAAAATCGAAAAAAAATTTCAAAAAAATTTCTTAATTTGGATCTCACACTAGCTTTTTTACAAATACAAAATTATTTTTCCCCAATTTTTTAACTTTTTATACAGTTTAAAAAATACTTTACTAGCACTGCCACACGCATTTTTGTGTGTGAAAATTAAACACGCAGTTTTAACTATAAAAAAATTTTATTTAAAAATTTACTTAAAATAAATCTTTTAATTATTTTTTGGCATATTTAAATACTTCCCCTTATTCTCTATTTTTATTTAAATTTTAGAAAAATTTTTCAAGCCAATTCAACCCAACTTCTGACACACACCTAAAACATATTTCATTCAAAACCTTCACTCACTCAAACCCTTATAACTCAAGAACGCCTAAACCTTTTCATACCATTTAAAAACAGTTTGATAGAGAATTTAATTAGCTATCTAATAAAAATAAAATCAAAATTTTATCAAAATTTAAAAAAATGTTATGATAAAAAAACTTAAGTTCAAAGAGGTTTTAAGGCTTTTTAAAGGCTAATAACATTTTTCCATAAAAAAATTTTTTTAAATTTAATTTAGCTAATTTAAATTCTCCATCAAAACAATAAAAAGTACAATTAAGAAAAAAATTTTTCCAAAAAGAATTTCAAACAAATCCAAAAAAATTCTAATATTTATTTCCACTTCCCCTTCCCCATTATATCCCCTTCTCCTTTAATCCCTCACCAATCAAACCAAAAAAAAATTTAAAAAAATTTTTCCTTTTGTTAAATAAAAATTAAAAAAATGTAAATTTAAAATAAAAAAAAACAATTATGCAGATTTAATTTTTAAAAAATTATTTAAAATTAAAAAAAATCTCGTGGGGGATTGCCTGCAATTGACCAACGACCATTAAGCATAAATTAAAAAAAATATTCAAAAAATAATTATTTTTATTCATTTTTATATTGGGCAATTAAAAGGGCTTTATTTTCAATTTTAGTTGTTTTTAGTTGAGGCTTTAGCATTTTAATTTGAAAAATAAGAAAAAAATTTTTTTACAGCTTTTTGAACGCTTTATTTATTTGCATGTTTAGAAAAGCTACTTTAAAAATCTTTAAAAAATCAAATTAAAAATGTATTCCCTATATCACCTAATATTTGATTATACTGCTTGGGAAACACAATTTAATTGTTCAAATATTGATGTTGATTCGGTACCTTTGGAACGAAGACAGAAACATTGGATAGTGTCATATGTGACTATCATACTTTGCGTTATTATTTATGTAATTTTTCTCAAAAAAAATTTTCAAAAAAATTTTCAAAAAAATTTTTCAAAAAATTAAAAAAAAATTTTCAAATTAAAGAACCCCCAAAAATTTCAAAAAAAAATTTTTAAATTCAAAAATCTCTAAAAAAATCTCAAAAATTTGCAAAAAATTTCTCACAACCCTCACTTCCCCATTTTCAAGCTCCTATACATCCCCTGCATGTACTCACTATGGAAACAACAGAAAGACGGCAATCCCTGCTACAGAATTTTATTATATTGTGGCGTTATGGACTTTGGAATTCTCTGGAGCTTAGGAATACTTGCCCCAATACTTGCTTTGAATGGTTCTGTTTATTGCACAAACCCTTTAATTACTTTTATTACTGGAGCAACTAATGACTGTAATTAAAAATAATCAGAATTAAAATCAGAATTTTTTCAAGTCTTCTATTCATGTGAAATGTCAGCAAGTACTTTACTTGCCTTGAATCGTTGTATGGATATTCTATGTTCTGAATTAACACAAATACTTTTTGAAGGTAAAAACACAGAAAAAATAGAAAAAACACAGAAAAAATACAAAAATAAAACACAAAATTAAAACACATAAAAACACAAAAAATACAAAAAATAAAAACACAAAAATTTATAGGTAATAGAGTTTGGATATGGCTTGGTGCAACTACAATTTATGGCTTGTATTGGCTATTTTTTGTGGTTTGTTTCAGAATTATTATAAACCTTCCGGAAAAATACAAAACTTTAAAATTTATATAAAAGTGTTTTCCGGAAAAATTGTACGTATGTAGAATAAGTAAAGTATAATTTCCGGAATGTATTTTTCCATTTTCCGGAAAATGTTTATTTTCCGGAAAAATAATAAATTAGAATAGATAAAGTAATTTCCGGAATGTATTATATTTCCGGATTTCCGGAAAATGTTTATTCTCCGGAATTTTTATAAAATAAATTCTGATATACTATTTAATTATTTTCAGAACCCCAGCCTATTCAACAGTATCTACTTTGCCTACTTTTTTAATCCCTATCAAGGCTATATTGCTGCTGATGAAGTAAAAAAAATTCTTAAAATTCTTAAATTATTTTTAATTTAATTAACCTCCTATTTCTAGTATCACCCATTAACTCACACACTTCATGATTGGATTATTGGAGGTTCCGTTCCCGTAATTTACATTCTCTTTCTTATTGGAATTCGATGGAAAATGCGTGGGGCAGTTGGGGGTTTGGGGATTACAAAACTTCAAATGATGGTTCCTCCAAAATATTTATTCAAAAATTTATTTCCCTCTCTCTAGAGCTTTATTCAAGTATTAATTCTAAGTTTTATTCATTTGGTTGGTTGTTCCCTCTATGTTTTAATGCAAATGATACCCGTAACTGAATCACTTATTATACTTGCTGAATTTGTTTGGTATTTTTCTTATTTGAAAAAATAATTGAAAAAATTATTTTAAGGTTCATAAATCATGGCAAGTTTCTTCTACTATTTTTTCTCTTACTTTTTTAATCCACAATCTTCTCTCTCCAAAACTTGAAACTATAAGGCTGTTGGTGACCGGTTAATCCTTGCCTGTAGCAGCGTCCTTAAAAATTCCCCTATCCAATTTAACTGCTCCCACAGGATACAATTAACCGGACACCATCAACCCCTACTTAAAATTTCCTCTAATTTATTTTTTCAGGTATTTCTCCATTCATTTTTCTTTGTATTAACCGAACAATTCGAAATGACTGCATTCTACTCTTTTACAAGTTTTTAATTTTTTAATCCTCAACTCCCTTCCCTTTATTTTCCTAGAATTTTTGAACCTTCTAGAGTAACCCAAGTTCATGGTGTTACTGTTTTAAGAAGTAGAAGTGATGGTGGCGGAGCTAGTGCCCTTCCCCCACATTCAGGTTCACAACGCTCTGCTGCAGTAACTAAAGTTTCTCCTGGTATATTACCCCCTCAAGTTGGTAATATTGTTACTAATCGAGAAATTGAACGATTTTGATGTGAATTCAAGAAGAAAAATAAAAGAGAAAAATAAAAATAATTTTTAATTGATTTTTTAATTAACACAAAACACTCACAAATCAGTAGCTACTTAAACTTTTTAAAAATAAAAAATATTCAAAAAAATATTCAGAAAATAAATCTAATAATTTTCGACAGATAATTAAATTTTTTCCAAAATAAAATTAAAAATAAAATTTAATAAAAAAATATACGAGTTTTGACTACAAAAACACTTCAAACACCAACAAAATCTTTTAAAAGACACACTTTTTCAGTCACAACTTTTTTTAAAATTTAAATAAAATTAAAAATTAAGCTTTATTTTATTGCCAATTTAATTCTCTATCGACTCATATTAAATACATTTTAAAATATTAATTATTCCACAAGTTAAAGCAGTCTGAAAACATCAAGGTCAAGCACAAGAAGAGCAGATAAAAAAAGGATCAATTAAAAAAATATATATCCTCGCAAAGATCAATATTCAGATAAATAAAATGAGAGAAAGAACAGATACCCCCCTTCATCTTCCCACTACCCCCCAACTTCCTCCTTTTTCACTAAAAAATAAAATAAAGCTTAAGCTAATCATTAAAGAACCCCCTCTCTTTAAGAATAAACAGGTGTGCGTGTCTCGTTTTTTTTAAATTTTTTTAAATCTAATTTTAGAGGGAAAGCTCCTTCCCCTCTCTTCCATCAGTTCCCCTTCCCTCAATTAATTTTTTTAAAAAAATTTCCTTATGATGACAAACACGCTATGGTTTTTAAAAATTTATATTGATCACACTTGAACGTTAAGCTTTCCCTATCTAATTTTTAAAAGACAAACAAACACACACACACACGAAAAAAAAAAATCACCTTTCTAATTTTACTTTTGACTGATTTTTATTCTTTTAATTTTCATAATTGATTTTTAAACTTATAAGAATTTAAAAATTTAGAAATTTTGAATTTTAAATAAAATTTTTTAAAAATTTTATTTAATAAAAAATTTTTTTCCATCCAATAAACTTCTCACCAACCAAAATAAAAAAAATTACTTAAGCTCAAAAGAAAAATTTTTTCCTTCATCCCATAATCCCCCCCCCCTACTTCCTCCCACTACCATATTTCAAGCATAAACAACAACTTAATTAAATTTCTATTTAAAGAGATAAAGGGACTTAAATATAAAAATTTTTGTAATTTTTAATTGAAACAAAATTTTTTCTTTTTGTTCAATTAAACGGAAAAACTACTTCCTTCTTTTCAAATAAAAAAATATTAATTGTGTCCCTAAAATAGTAAAATATAAAAACTTTACACACACACACAAATGTTCAAACTTAATTTAAACTTTGATCTGAAAAAAAGAACAAAAAGAAAGGTGTATATAAATATAAAATCATTCATTCACTAGACATTCTCATGATTTTTTAAAAATTACTATAAATACACACAAATCAGAATTTATATAATTACTTTCAATACGTTGCTAAAATACATTTTTAAAAATTCTGATTTATTTTAATCAAAGAAAAATACAAATCAGAATTTTCACCTCTAAAAACACATTCCAAAAATTCTGATTTTATTTATAGCAAAGAAAAATACAAATCAGAATTCACTCCGCTTTAAAAAATACAATGCACAAAATACATTCTGCTTATTCTAATTCTAAAAACAAGAAAAAAATACACAAATCAGAATTTCAAAATAAAATAAAAATAAACAAGCACCCTTCTCCCCCTCGGTATCACGACTTTTGCGCCGAGAACATTTGCGCCGCGACTTTTGCGCCGCGACTTATGCGCCGGGCGACTTTTGCGCCGCGACTTGTGCGCCGCGACTTATGCGCCGAGCGACTTATGCGCCGCGACTTTTGCGCCGAGCGACTTATGCGCCGCGACATTTGCGCCGCCATAATTTAAAAAAAATTCTACAGTCGGACCTATTTATATTTAGTGTACTCTTTAAAAAATGGTATCCAGGAGCTGATGGAATTTCAGGAAGTACAATATTTCGGTAAGTACAATAGCCCCCTCTAATAAACAGACCCCCTAGAGGAAGGTTGAAAAATAAATCAACCCCATAGAGGGATCATTTTCAAAGAACTTGACTTTTTCTGATCAGAATATTTGTTCTGCTACCCCTATTCAGGCATGATTCTCTGCCAGAAGAGGGTGCACTATAGTCTAGGGTTGTCAGGTCCAGATATCCGGATATGAAAAAGGCCGGATAACCGAAAATTTTAGGTCGGATATCGGATCCGGATCTTGATATCCGAAGATCTCCAACTATCCTACATCTTCTATAGTGAGGTCAGACTGTAGTTTTTCATAATTATTAATAATAGTGGCGGCGCAAAAGTCGTCCGGCGCAAAAGTCGCGGCGCAAAAGTCGCCCGGCGCAAAAGTCGCGGCGCAAAAATCCCCCGGCGCAAAAGTCGCTCGGCGCACAAGTCGCGGCGCATAAGTCGCGGCGCAAAAGTCGCGGCGCAAATGTTCTCGGCGCAAAAGTCACGGAACCTCCCCCTCCACCCACCCAATTCATTTATCTTTAAATAATTTACACAAAACAATTTTTTATCACACAAATAAACACACAAAAATATACAAATCGTCTACAACATTTGTATAGTAATAGCATTTCATTATTATAAAATGTATATATTTATTCCTTATCAATTAAACAAGAATTATATTATTGATGGTGGTCATTTTCTTACAAATTTTACTACCTAATTATTACTTATAAACCTCCTTAATTATTTTTATGCTTATAAACCCCAGTGTGTTTTATTCTGAAAAATACATTGTTAAAAATTCTGATTTTTAAAAAGGAAGAAATACAAAAAACACAAAATACAAATCTCTCCTCTAAATATACATTCTTCCGGAAAATACACTCTCCTCTAAAAATATACATTCTTCCGGAAAATACACTTCCGGAATTGTATGTATTTTTCCCTTTTAAAAATAAGAATGTATTTTATTTATAAAATTATTTGTTTTATACCAAATCAGAATTTTTTTGTAACAAAATTCTGAACATTTATATGTATATTCATTCCGGAAACATACATATATAACAATTCCGGAAAATTTTTTAAAATACTCGAAATTTTTATTTGTTCTATTATTTGTGTTTCTTTCCGGAAAAATATCAGAATTTTATATGTATTATTAAAATCAAAAAACACATAAAAACACACAAAAACACTTGAAAATACTCGAATATTTTATTTGTTCTATTATTTGTGTTCCTTTTTTAATTCAACCTTTCTCTATTGTTAACTAAATTTTTAACTCACTTATTTACATACCAAAAATCTTTTTACCTAAACAATTAAAAAAATGTTTCATAATGTAACAAAACATTGTTCAAGTATCTAAAAAATATTTTTATTTCAATTTTATAAATTTTGAGATCCTTGAAAAAAAACTTAAGAAAGATTCATGATCTACCATTACGCAATTTCTTTTAAAAACCCCTTCTGAAACTACCTCCATTTTCTATTGAAAAATACCCCATCTTCTATTTTCTGATTTTTTTTATTTCACGAACACACACTATACTATTATTAATATTTTCACAAATAAAAATTTTTTCTTGTTAACCCTTAAAAATTAAAAAAAACTCTCACAAACCACCCCCATTTCATATTGAAAAAAATACCCCTATACATCTCATATTTTCTATTTTTTTTATTTCACAAACACACACACTATACTACTAATATTAATATAATCAAGAATAAAAAAATTCACAAAAAAATTTTTTTATCCCTTAAAAATCAAAAAAATTCTCTCAAAATATACTATTAATGCAAAAATAATTTTTATTTTTTTCAATTTCCTCTCCCTTTTTTTCAAATTTTTTCCCTACAATTCCAACAAGAAAACATTTTTTAAAAAATTAAAAAATAAACAAAAATCTCACATTTAATTCACTAAAAAATAGAGGTTAAAAAAGCTCAAACACAAACATACAAAACAAAAAAATCACGAGCTTAAGTATATATACTTTAAAAAATTTTTTTGTACTTTTGTTAACAACTACATACACTCATTTGTCAGTACAATCCCAGAAAAAAATTCAGAATTTTAACAAACCTTATGACTACTTCAAAAAAATAATTTACAATAATAAATATGACCACAAAAAACACAAAAACATGTTGTTAAAAAATTAAAAAAAATTTTTTTTCATTATTTGAAAAAATTTAGAAAAAATACTAAAACCCTGGTTAACCCCGAAACTTGAATAAATAAAAAAATTTAAAAATTTCTAAACTCTAAAAAAATAAAATAAACAATTCTAGATCTAAAAAATATTTTTAAAAAAATCTAATGGTCGAAATGACTTGTGATTTAGCACCAGACCAGCAGTCAAAGTCACCACTACCCCCACCACCCTCAACAACAACAACCCAACAACAATTTGAAAATTCAGAAAATTTTTTCGAGGGAGCAGAAAAATTGTTGGAAATTTGGTTTTTTGGTAAAGAAAAGAATTCTTCTCTTCGAAAAATTCCAAAGAATGAATTGGACAGATTGATGGATATTGCTGGATGTAAAATATTACAAGTATTGAGGACTGAACAAATTGACTCATATTTATTGAGGTAAAATAAAATTGTAAAAAAAAATTGGGAGAAATTTTTTGTGAAAAAATAAAAAATTTTAAGTGGAAAAAATGTCAAAAATTGAAAAAAAAATTTTTGAAAAAAATTCAAAAAAAATAAAAAAAAAATCCCCCCTCTACTATTTTTCAAAAAAAATCAACAAAAAAATTTTTTCTAGTGAAAGCAGCCTATTTGTATCTGATCGCCGTTTAATTCTTAAAACTTGTGGACAAACACGTCCTTTACTTGTTATTAGTGAATTGCTTAAATTGGCACAAATTTATGGAAGAATGGATATTGTTACTAATGTAACCCAAAAAATTCCGTTAGAAATTTTTTAAAAATTTTAATTTTCTCAGGTATATTATTCACGTAAAAACTTTTTTTGTCCTCAACTACATGCTACGTTTGATGAGGAAATTAGTTTACTTGATGGATTTTTTGAAGGTTAATTATTAAATTAAATAAAAAGTGATACAATGATCACAGAAAAAATAAAAGGCATGGACCGTAGGCCCAAAAAAGAAAAGACGCATTAAGCGCGTGGACAATAAGCCCAGAAAAAAGTCGTAGGACAAATACGTCCAGGAAAATTTTCAGTAAATTGATGATACAAAGAGCCACAATAAACCCCCAATAAAACCCCACACGTCCACTAATTTTTAAAAAATAAATTCAGTTTAATGAATAAAAAAACAAAAAAATACCCGACTAAAACCCTGCCCCTTTATTATTATTTTTTAAATTTTTTAGGAGGTACTGCTTATTGTATGGGCCCACTCAACCAGGATCGCTGGTGAGCCCATTTATAATTTTTTAAAAATCAAAAAATAAATTCTAAAGGTATTTATATACACTCACCTCATCTCCACCAAAAGCAATCATTGCCGCACACCAACCAAAGCTGCCTGACCACACATTGGAGCTGCAAATGACCGGCATTCCTGCTGATGTTCTGCGAATTTATAGCTGGGCAGAATGTCCAAATGGTGCTGCTGAATGCACTAAAGTAGAATTTAAAACGATTAGAAATCAAAAAAATTTCTTAAAAATTTTTTTAGCGTTCCGGAATTCTTGATTTACTTCCTCGTGAAACTTTAATACAAGACGAGCTTTTCAAACCCGTTGGTTACAGTTGGGTTTTAATTTTTTAATTATAAAAATCTCTCAATGAGGCCTCAATAATAATAGATCGACCCATTACCAGAGGTGTGCAGAAATTGCTTTAAAAATTGAAAAATAAAAGATGAAGGCCCATTTAAAAAGCAAGGACGAAAGGCACACCCCTGCCTCCACAAGACCGAAAAAACCGGACCTTAAACAGAAATTTCTCAATTTTGGGGGTATTTTACAATGAGACTGTATTTTTAATTTAAAAATAAAACAATTTAATCAAAAATTTACCTTCAAGGCATGAACGGAGTGATTGACCATGATGAGTATGTCACCATCCATATAACACCAGAGCCCGAATTTTGCTATGCCTCATTTGAAACAAATCATCGTAGAGGATGTCTTTTTGAGCAAACACGCAAAGTTCTGAATATATACAAGTAGTTTTAAATTTAAAAAAAAATTTAAAAAATTATATTTTAGACCAGCACGCTTTATTCTAACACTCTTTGCAAGTAAACTCTCTGTTGAAGCTAGAGCTTCACAACAACGTTTTTGGAAAGAAGAGTTGGAGGGATATAAACGAGTATCTGTTCAAATGCTTCGTTTACAGGTTAGGAAAAAAAATTTTTTTTCTTAAAAATTTTTTCGAAAATTTACAAAAATTATTTATGGGATAAATTGTCCTCCTACTCCAAAAATAAAATTAAAAAATTATTTTTCTCCTTTTTAGCAAGACAAAGTTCTTTTTGCTTTGTTTGTACGTGATAATACTCAAGAAGAGAATGATTCAAGTTACTTTTATGATCAAGAAAATGTTCAATTAAAGAACAATACTCAAGTAAAGACAAAAGGTGGAAATGATGATGGACGTTGTAATGAGCCTAGATGACATTTCTCAAAGGAAGAAAATAAATTTAAAAAAGAAAAAATAGAGACCTTAAAAATATTTTTTAAAAATTCACTCAATAAATTTTTTATATATTTTTTGTGTAGTTGTAAATAAATTTAAACCCAAAATCTGGTTATTTTTCAGCTACAAAATAGTAAAAGGGTAAACATTTGTATTTAAACAAGCTTAAGATAAATGCTAATTGTAAACAAAACGTGCTGGTGATTTTCTTCAGAATTAATTTAAAACATGTTTTACAAACATCAGAATTAAATTAAAACATGTTTTACAAATATCAGAATTAATTTAAAACATGTTTTACAACATTTTCAGAATTTTATAAAAACATACAAAATCAGAAAATGTTTTGTTTCAATTTCAGATAAAACATGTTTTTCAGAATTTTTAAAAAACATTTTCAGAAGTATTTTCCAGAAAACAGGTTATTGGAAAAACAAAAACTACACCAAAACATGTTTAGATTTTTCAGAATTTATAAAAACATAAAAACCAGAACGTTTCTATTTTTATTCCAATTTCATAAACCTTCCGGAAAATAATTCTGAAACCAATTATTTGTCTGAAAAAATATAACAACTATACCTAAACCAGAACATGTTCATCTTGAGTCATCCTCAGTCCAACATTGTCAATTAAAATTAAATTTGTTGTTTTGTTGTCGTTGTTCAGTCGTTGTTGTTGTTGTTAAAATTGTTTTTAAAAGAATAATGATGAGGCACAGCAACAACAGAAACACAGTCCAGGCTATTTTAAACAAAAATATATTTAAAAAATAAATTTAAAAAATAAAAAAATATTTAATTAAATTTCCTTAATTAAAATTTAAAAAAAAAAAAACAAATTTTTTGTCTTTTCAATTTTTATCGTCAACTTAAAAAAAAAATTTTAAAAATTCAATAATATAATAATAAATAATTAAAAAATTAAAAAAATCAAAAGAAAAAAAAATATCAAGTGAAATTATTTTTTGAATTTTCAAATTAAAGAGTGAATTTTTTTTCAATCTAAAATAACCCTAAAATAATTTTTTGAATAATTCACTCCATTTTAAAAATAAACACAAAAGGCAGAAAATTATATAAAACAAAAAGAGGCGATTAAATAAAAAATATTTTATAAGAATTGAATTTTAGCCTATAAATTCTAAAAAAATAATAAATATCAATTTTTCTTCCTGATTAAAAAATATTTAAAGGAAAGATAAATAAAAAGTCAATAACAAATAAATAAAAAAGAGGAGGGAGAGAGAAAAACCCTGTAAAGAAAATCTTTTTTTTTAATTTTTAAAAATATACAAATTGCAATTTTTTAATTAAAAAATAAATAGACGGCTCTCTTAATTTTTTTCTAGGCAAAAATTTGCAATTTTTGGGCATAAATATTAAATTAAAAAATTGAAAGAATAATAAACAATAGTAAAGGAATGAGAGAATGGCCTACAAAAAAAGTACATGTGTGAGCCCGTTTTGTTAAAATATAAAATATAGTATATACTCTATTAATTACCCTCCTCAAATAATTACCCTCTTTAATAATTACCCCCTCCCTTTCCTTCTCTAATTTCAAAAATATTGAAAAAATCGTCAATTTTACCCAAAATTTAGCCAATCCTCTCGATTAATTACCCCCTCCAGAGAGAAGTCGAAACAATAATTACCCAGGGTAATTAATAGAGTATATACGGTAGTTTGAAAATAAATAATTACAAAAAACAATAGTTGAGCCTAAAAATAAATAAATAGAGAAACATAATTGGGAGAGAAAAAATTCCAAGTTTCTAGCATTGTGTAAAAAAATTTAAAAAAATAAAAAGAGAAAGGCTTATTTTTAAGAGATGAAAAATTAAAGATTTTGGAGAAAATAGTTTTGGCAGTCCATTAAATTTCCTTATTGGTTCACCGTTCTTATAAGGTATCGGTTTTGGGTTATTTAAAAGGTAATAAAAAATCGAAAGGAAAAAAACCTCGAAAATCGAAATTTCGAAACACCTCTGGTCCTAAAAAAATTTTTTCTCAAATTTCAAACTAAAAAAAATATTGGTCCAGAAAATCTTGTCCAAGAAAACCAAAAAATTTTAACCAAATATCTTGGCCCTTTCAATTCCCTCCAAATCTCTAATTAATTCATCACAAAAAAATTTTTAATGTTTCATAAATGAAGACATAAAGTTTAGCCCACTCCAAGGAAAGAAAGGACTTGTTGGTTGAAAAGGAAAACTTCCTGCTCCTGCTCCAGTAGGTGTTGTTGGTGGAGGCATTTGAAAGGCTGAAGGAATATTTTGTTGTTGTAAAATTGGATTATTTGAAGAAGAAGAAAATGGAGAGGAAGAATGATGATGAGGCAATAATGTTGAAGCAGCTGCAGCAACTAATAAATTATTAACATCATTAGTATTACTTGAACCAAATAAAGAAGATGAATGTTGTTTTGAGGGTGTATCAACTAAAAGAGGTTGTTGGTTGTGTTGTTGTTGTTGTTGAGGGTGTTTACGACGTAAATGTGAAGGTGGTGTATGTGGAGAAAATAATTTGGGGTCGGAGGTGGTTGTTGGTGTTGTTTCCATTTTGAAACTGAAAATTAAAAAAAAATTTTCTTCAATTTAAAAAATTTTTTTGTTCATTTTCTTATATAATAAATTATATCAACTACAAATAATTTTTGTAAAACAAGTTTTAAAATACAAAAAAATTTCATTTCCGCATTTTTTATACAAAATTTAAAAATTTTTTTTGTTTATAATCTTTGCGCTCACAAAACCAAAACCGTTCCGGTCAATTAATTAAAATTCATTAATAACCCCAAAAGGCTTTTTTTTAAAAACTTGCCAAATAATTTTTTATATACCTTTTTTAATCTTTCCAAATTATTCTATTTTTTTTTAAATTAATTTTTTTATTTTTAAAATTGTTCCATTTTTCCAATTTGTTCAAAAAAATCATCAAACTCACTTAAATACAAAAAATTTTTTGGGGAAAACATTTTAACAAAAACTTGTTCTTATAAAAAAAATAGAGGTGTTAAAGAGGTACCCGAGCATCAGGCATCGATCTGTAACGTCTAGGGGATTTTTATTTCCCGAATCAGATGCTCACCAAATATAAGGAAAGCAAGTACATAAAAGTTACTGATCGAAGCGAGCTACCGGGTACACTCTCCTCCCCGATTTCACCTTTTTTCTTTAAAAAATTTTAACCTTATACTTACTCCAGCCGTCTTATTCCCTAGTCATTTTTTAAAAAAATTGAAGAAAAAAAACTAACGTTTTAACATTAACACCACCACGACCACCATGTTGTTGTTGTTTTGACATTATTGGTGATTCTAACCCTTCCATCATTAAATTTTGTTTAATATCAGCTTTGTTGTCCTCATCAATATCAGATTCTTCTTCTTCTTCAATAGATTCATCCTCACCACCATCACTACTTGCTGTAGAAGAACAACGGCTTAATTCACTATTGGTTGATTGCCCTTTTTGTGAACTTAGAGGAGAATCTAATTGTTGTTGTTTTATTGGAAGATGTTGAGATTGTTGGGTTGATAAATTTAAACCAAATAAATTTGAAAATTGTGAAGTTTGTGAATTATGATGTATATTTAAATTGTTATTATTGCTGCTGCTCTGCCCTCCTTGTTGTTGTTGTTGATGATGATGTAAAGGAGTGGTTGGATTTGTAGTAGAGGAAACCTTTTAGAAAAAGAAAATTTTAAAAAGGCCAAGAAAGTTGGATGAAAAAAAAGAGAATGATAGCCGGTGGGACTCATTGTCAGTTTTCAAAATTCCTCCCTAGTTGAACCGTCAAAGGGGATTATTAACCGGTCGTCACTACCCCTCAGTTTATAGCCTTGGAGAAAGAATTGTACTGGGAGAGTTCAAAACCCTGCCCAGGAGTAAACGAAACAGAAAGGGATTAATAAACAGTTTTAGAAGACCGGGTCCAGTTCCAGTAGGTGGGCAGTTCCAGTAAAGGGTATTCAAGCTTATCCAAAAAGGATTCCAAAAAGGGAAGCTCATCCAAAAAGGATTAAAAAATTATTCAAAAAATAATCAAAAAACCTGTGCAGGAGAATCAGAATCACAAAGAACATTTAAACATTTCTTTTTACGTTTACAATGTTTACACCATTTAATTTGATTATCAACACCAAAACGTGCACGACACTTCTTTGAATCATTATTTTCTTAAAAAAATTTCAAAAAAATTTTTCAAAAATTTCAAAAAAAAACCTAATGAACGTTCCCTTGTTCTACGCTTTTTAGCCTTTTTATGTATTGCATAATTCTCACGAGCTGTCCAATTTGGATAAAGTCGTTGGTGTTCTTCACGTTTTAATGTTGCCATATCATAATATGGTTGTTGTTCATCTCTAGTCATTCTTTGCCAAACTTGTCCCAATTCTTTATTTAATTCTGCTGATTGTTTTCTTTTATCAGCACATTCATCCATATATTTATGACGATTTTCTTTCATAAACCTTTGAAAAATAATAATTAGTGTCAATTTTTAAGAGTCATTAACTGGGCAGAAGCTTTTTCAGAGATAAAAATCTAAAAACGTAAAACCCTGATGCATTTAAAATTGCCAAAATCGGGGGTTCTAATCGGGCACGGACTTGTTTACTGGAAAGGGCGGCAGTTTTAGGAATAAAGTCTGTAGTCATAAAACTCCGATAACCTTCAAAAATGTTAAAGCTGAGTTCTTAACAGGTATAGGCTTTTTAATTGAACCAGGAACATTTTCAAAGCTAAAAATCTGAAACAATAATTTCTTTGAAAATGACAGTCAGGGTCACGAAAACATACGAATTAAGGCTGTTACGGGTTAAGAAAAATTTTGGTCGAAGCTCAAGTGACCAATGACGTCCCTAATATGTATGAATAGATCTCCCCTGCTCCAAATCTAAATTTAATTCTAAAAACTCATCCATTCCCCTCTATTTAAAATATTAAAAAAATAAAAACCGTACAACATAAAAGCATTCATTGGCTTCTTAATATGTTCATGTTTTCCATCACTATTAGTAGTTGAACTTTTCCCATTGTTGTGATAATTTTTTTCTTTAATTTTGTGTTCAAGTTTTTCACGTTTTGGGACTCTATTAAAAAAATTTTTTAAATTAAAAAGAAACCATTTTCTTACTTTAATGGTGTATTTATTGAAAAACGTCCATTATTCGAATGTTGTTGATGGTGTCTTTGTTGTTGTTCCAAACTATGTTTACGAGAAGAGGCAGAATTGTTAACTTCTCCTCTATCAGTAGAAAGAGAAATACCACCCAAAACACCACCAAGTGAAGACATTGGACTTGCCATATGTTGTTGAATTGAATAACCATTTCGATTAGAATTATTGTTAGGAGTTTGACCACCCATAGAAAAAGTTGGAGGACGTTCAAATGGAGCTGCAAAAAAATTAAAAAAAAATTTTAATCAAGAAAAAAGGTACTTGAAGGTTATCTCATACCAAAAGTACCAAAAATTTTTTAAAAAATACCTCCAAACTGCGGTCCAAGATTCGCAAAATTTGGTGAATGCCTAGCAATATATTGAGCAGCACTGGCAACATTGGCAACATATGCTTAAATTATATAAGCTTAAATTATTTTACAAAAAAAAAGTAAACCTGCTTGGGCTGCTGCATGTGCCATTGCAGCAATTTTTTGTTGATTAGAATATACAGGTGAAATAAGTGCTTGAAGTGTAAACCAATTCTGAAAATTCTGCAAAATAGGCCACGGCATTTGAGAAGGATTATATATCGGATTGACTTGTTGTTGTACTAAAGAAATAAGAAAAATTTTAATAAGGTAAAGAAAATCAACAAACAATTATAATCAGTCTGCGATTCAATATCTGCTTCAAATGCCAATTCATTTTTATCTTCAGCTAAATCAGCAGAACTTCCAGCAATTTCAGTTGGATCATCATCATTTACATCAGGATTTGAACGAAATACTTTTACTTCATCAGCAATTTCTTCATTGGGTACTGGAGATGTTTTAATAGAAACTTTAATATCATTTAAAGAATCTTCAAAAGCTGTGGAGGTTGTTGTTGTTGCAACTCCTGTTGCTGATGACAAACCACCTCCAACAGAAGTTGTTGTTGATGGAATATTTACACTAGTATCCATTTAATTTAGAGAATTGTTGTTGTTCCCACCAATAAAATAAAATAATATCCGAAGAAGGATAATGTTTAGTATTTTTGATGAAGAAAATATCAAATGTTGTAAAATTCGACTGAAATTAATTTTTTTTAAAAATTAGTAAAATTTTAAAATGAGTGAAAAAAACATTTTTACAACTCTCCCCCATTTCTAACATTAAAAAAGAGGAAAAAAAATTGACCACAAGATTTATGTTCTCTGACCACTATTTAGAGCTTTTATTAATGTTGGCTTCAATTTTTTCTTCCCCACTTTTTTGCTTTCACTTATTAGAAAATAAAAAAATACACACAAAATACAACGGGGACAGAACGTTAGAGCATGAACAAAAAAAAAGTACAAAAATTGAAAATTGAGGAAAGGAACAGAAAAAAGAAAAATTGAGAGGGGGGAAAGTAGTTGGTCGCGCGGACACAAAAGAATAAATGGCTCGTAGTAAAATTCGCTATTGTGCGCAGGTTCTCTCTCACTAGTTAGTGGGAGAAGTAGTGTGTTTGGCGGCGGTTTTTTGAAAAAAGGACGCCGTAATAACAAATAGCTATTAAAAACTAGAAAGGTTTTAAAATAAATTAACTAGAATAAATTTAGTAGAAATTATGGGGGTTTTTATAGTATTATAAAAATCAGAATTTTAAACAAACATTACTACTAAAAATCAGAATTTTAAACAAACATTACTACTAAAAATCAGAATTTTAAACAAACATGAGTACTAAAAATCAGAATTTTAAACAAACATGAGTAATAAAAATCAGAATTTTAAATAAACATAAGGAAAATTTCAGAATTTTAGGTAAACAATAAAACCAGAATTTTAAATAAACACGCGAACAAACAACATAATCAGAATTAGAAAAAAAACATATGTAATAGAAATCAGAACAGGAGAAAACCAGAATTATTATTTTTACAGTTTGTTTAGAAACAAAACAAACAACGATTTAAACACATTTAAAAATAAACATGGATTAAAATCAGAATTTTCGCTTAAACCTGTTTTTAATAAGTAATTAATGTTGTTCATCCCTTATTTTAATTTCTCCCCTTTATTCCCACTATGTTGCAAAGAGCGCGGCATTTTTATTTTATAAAAGCAACAATTTGAAAATTGCGGGGCGCGTCGGTATAAGATTATAAGAGGTGGAAAAGGGCAAAATTATTTTTAGGGAAAATTGAACAAAAAAAGAGGAGAAGGAAGAGGGGTAAGGGGTAGAAGCGGCGGATAAAATCAAAAAAAAAGAAAACAAAAGAAAATGAAAGGGAAAAATGCCGCTAATTGTATACATAAATAGGTACATATATTATTTATTTAAATGAGGGCAGAATTTTTAAAAATAAATTAAAAACTGAAAATTTGAACGGAAAATTGTAAAAGGCTGCTAGAAAAATTAATAATTTTTGATAAGGAAAAATTTTAAAAAATTCAGAAAAAAATTTCTGAAATATTTTTAAAATCTCCATTAGAAAAAATCCCAAAATCAAAGAAAAATAAAATAAAACAAAAAATTTTTTTGAATAAAAAAACTTAACAAAAAGACCAAAAGAGAGTTGCGCGCCTAATTACTATTTCCTCTTTCTTAACTAATTTTTAATTGAAAATCGAGAAAAATAAATAAATAAAGATAAATGAAAAATTAGGTGAAAGATAATAAATATTTAAATGAAAAGAAAATATTCAAAAAAAAATTTTTAGAAAAAAGAAATTTCCAAATTTTTTTTGTCGGCGACTTTACTCCCTCCCTCCCTCTCGCGCAGTAAGGAAAAAGGGAATATATTTAAAAAATATTTTCTTTGAAATTATAATATTTAAAAAAATAATAATTGACACTTCTTGAGATATAGTAGAAAATTTACAAAAAAAATAACTGATTGATAAATTAATTTTTGTGAAGAAAATTAAAAAAATAAATTAGGGCCATAAGTAACAAACAAGAATAAAATTTTGTACCAAAAACACTAATTTAATTAATGGCAGTTGTTAAAATTATAATGTGCTTTTATAGTATTATAAAAATCAGAATTTTAAATAAACACGGGGAAAACAAGGCTCTCGAGAAATCAGAATTTCAAACAAACATGTTAAAAACATAGACAACAAAACATTAGCAATTAAAAAACATTAACACAACATTAAAAACATTAACAACAAACGTTTATTAAAATCAGAATTTTAAAAAAACATCAAAGAAAACATAAGTAATAAAAATCAGAATTTTAAACAAACATGAAACAAAACATTAAATAGCACTAATTAATAATAACAGAAACATCTTCCCTCCCTCCCTACTATTATTAAGTCAATAAATAACAAGCCCCGATCAGTAGGAGAGAGAAAAAGGGCACAGAGATCGAAAGAAAAAAAATTTTTAATAGACCCCCCTTTTATATTTTAAAACTTGCTACTGATTTTTCTTTCCTTTCTCTTTTCTGTTTAAATTTATATATAAAAGGCCTCAGCTGGCTCTTGATAAATTTTAAAAGGAAGAAACAAGTGATAGCTTTAAATAAATTTGGAAAAATTTTTGGAGAGAAAAAATTTTTTTAGAGAGAGAGAGAGTGATTAAAAATAAGAAAAAAAATATTCGAGAGAGTGAAAAGGACAAAAAACATTTTTTTCTTGTTTTAAAATAAAACATGCAACACAACAAAATTAAATATATGCAAAAGAATGTTAAAAAGTTAAGTTTTACTAGTGTTATAGTAGAATAATTAAGTTTGTGTTTTTAAACGGCAAAAACGTGAAAAGGGGGAAAATAAAAGAGGAGGAGATTTTAATAATTTTATTAAATAAATTATTTTTTTAAATTATTTTTTAGTGGCAGTAAATTTTGAAAGACCGACGGACGATACAATCACTCATACAAATATTTTTTTGCCCCCCCCCCCTTTATTAAAAAAATTTTTTTTAACAGTTACTTCCCCCACTTCCTCTTAACAGAGAGGAGATTTAAATAAATTAGTTAAGTAACACAAAAGTTATCAACACAAAGTTAGAACACAATATTTGACATTTTATTGTGTTTTAAAAAATACAGCAAAAAATAAAAAATAAATAAAATAAAAATCAGAATATAAAATACAAACAAAGGATTTAAATATTACAAATTAAAAATCAACTCTCGATAAAATTTAAAAAAAAATTCTGCAAAAAAAAGGAAGGATGACAGCAAAAAGGGTATCTGTGTAGTTTACCCCCCATCCGCTCTTTTTCCTCTCTCCTTTTTTTATAAAGTGACATTTGGGTCATTATTTTAATTTTTATTTATTTCAGGCTTTTTACCTCTCCAATAAAAAGAAGAGGAAAAGAAAAAGACAAGAAAAGAAAACAGTTCGGTGCTTATGGGGGGTAAACTACACAAGTAACCAAAAAAGTTAAATAGATGGGACTATAGTTAAAATTGAGGAATGGACCAAATTTCTAACTACAAATAAACCCAAAAAAGAAAAAGCAAAAAAAAAAGAATAAGATGTCTCACCTATTTTTCTTCTACCTCTCCCCTCTACCTTGATAGAAAAAATTTTTTTCCTTCTTACTAATAATTAAAAATATAATCATCAATTAAAATCTCTTTTTAACGGCAAAAAAGTTTTTTTTTTCTCAAAAACGGAAGAAAATATTTTAGATAACTTGAAAAAAAATAACTGTCGGCGGCGATAACTAGTGTGTTACATTATGAGATGCTCGAAGCCTTGAAGAGAGAAAAAATTTTTTTGAATGACAAGTGAAATAATAATAATTTTTTAAAGAAAAAATAATAATTATTAAAATATTCTTTGCCTTTTTTAAAAAAATTTTTTAAAGTAAAATTAGGGTTGGGGGCCACGTCCGGTCCGCGAGTCTAGCATCAAATTTTGGCCCGAAAAAGACTCGGTCAGGCCAATAAAAAAATTCGAACGTCGGCACGACTCGAAAACCCGACCGTAGTAATAATAAAATCAAAAAAAATTTTTTTTAAAGTGCCAAATTAAAAAAGCTAAAAGAAAATAAAGGAAGAAAAAATTGAAGAAAAGAAAAGCGAAGAAAAAAACTACCCCCAACTATAATTTTCTGTCCTTAAATAAAAATGCCATTTTTTATTTCAAATCAAGAGATGCCGTCTGTTCGAGTTACTTTTTCCGGATGACTGATCTACTCCCCTCTATCCTCTCCCCTCTATCTCAACTAAAGAGTCACAATTAGGCCCCAATCTCTCTTATTCTTATTAATAATTTTTTAAATTCTTCATTGGCCAAGGGAAAACGAAAAAATTTTTTCTTCCGTTCCTCCTGAAACCAATAGGGAGAAAAATGAATAAATAAAAAATAAAATAAAAAAATTATGCCGGACACTAGGAGAGAAAAAAATAAATAAATTTTTTTGGCACTTTACTTTCGTTCTCCTCTCATTTTTCATATAGAGGGAAGAAAATAAAAATGTAGAAGAAAAGTCTATATTTGAAAAAAGATATTTACTAGAACGTTAGAGAAAAAAAATAATAAAAGCTTTCCAAGTCGCGCGACCAAATAAATAAACTACTCCCGTCCCCTTCCACCTCAAAAATCGTTTCTGCCATCGCGTTTCCGCCAGTGCCGATAGGGACAAGTAATGTGCTGCTTGCTTTCTTCTTCTACCGATATCTGGGGAGGACGAGGAGGAAGTGCTGTTATTGCTGTTATTATTGCTGTTATTGTTGTTAGTTTTTGTTGTTTGGCGGCGGTTTTTTAAAAAAAGGACGCCGTCCACCATCCCCTAGTAGACTACCCTAGACTACTTAATATATCTCTCTCACGACAAAAAAAGTAAAGGTTTTAAAGATATAAGAGGGCCCGTAGGGCAAAATTAACCCCCAAAAAATTGAGGACGATAAAGAAAAAAGAAAGGGACTTTTCGACTTAAATAAAAAATAGAAAATTGTTCTTGGTTGTTGTTTTTATTGTCAGTTGCTACTAAATATAATGAAGAGATGATTAATAAATAAAATCAAGAATTGAGAGAGAGAATTAAAAAAAGGAGATTTTTTCAATTAAAAAAGAAAAAGATGAGAGGTCGATATTTTTAAATTTATTTAAAAAGGAAGCAAAATTAAGAAAATAGCAATTTTTGCATATACACACTTTTAAGTTCTCATTAAAAAATTAAGCCTGCAAAAAATGAAAAAGAAGAAAAGAAGCTTTTTTGAAGCCGGTAAACCCTTTTTCGTTTACCTATTTTTTTATTAAGAGAAGAGAAACATGTTTCCTCCGGTGCCGTTAGGCTTTCCCCAATTTTTTATTGTCTCTCAATTTTCTCTTTATAAATTAAAATCTGTGCCAAAAACACCCAACAAAAACAACCCTCAAACTCTTTTTGCGGCATTAAAACAATAGAAAAAAGAAGAAAGAAAGCACTAACTGGCAGATAAAAATTGGAAACAAAAAGAAAAGAAATTGGTGAGGGTATTGACGCTTTAAAAAGAGAAAGAAAAAGCTTCTTTTTATTGCCGCTAAAAGAAATGTGCGCAAAAAGAAACGCAACAGAAAAAGAAACAAAAATTTTTAATTTAAATTTTTAGAAAGAGGATCAAAAGGAAATCCACGGAGGGATTAAAAAATAAAAAAAAAATTTTTTTTTAAATTGAATATCCTCCAAGAAAATTATCCTTAAAAAGAGAGACACTTGCTTCTCCTCTTGGCGTTTTCCTAACGCACAACAAAGAAAAAAATAAATAAGTTAGCAATCGAGAAATGGAAGAAGAAGAAAAAAGCAGAAGAAGAAAAGCTACAAGAAGCAGCATATAGCCAAAAAAAAAAGAATCCATAGAAAAATTTTTCGTAAATATTAAAGTAACTGATATAAAATAAGAGTGAGTGTGTCAGTAAGAGAAGGATTAATCGGAAATTAAAAAAAAATAAAGGAAGAAAAAGAAAAGTGTGGGGTGATAAATATACATTATTGCAAGAAAATTATAAAAATAAAGTTTAAAAAACAATACAAAAAAATTCTAAAAAAAAATTTAACAAAATTAAAAAATAAATTTTGAAAATACATCAAAAGATGCCTTAAAAAAATTTTTTTAAATAAAGTAATAAAAATTAAAAAAAAATTTTTTTTAAAGAAACAAGTGGTATACTAATTTTAAAAAATATATAACCCAATTAAAATTTAAAAAAATAGGAAGAGATATACATACATATATACCTTTTTAAATACGTTTTAATTACTTTATATAAAGCGCGCAAGAAACAATTAAACGATTTTAAACAAATTTAAAAAAAGACCACACACACACATATTTAATGAAAATATACATATTAAAAACATGCAAGAGAGGTTAATAATGTTGAGATATTTCTTTATAGAATGTTTCTAAATGACTGAGTTTATTTTAAAATTGATAATTGAATGCCTTGACATCCATAGAAATCCCTTGCCATGGCTAATGGAATGCCCTAGCCTTGATATTCAATTTTTCAATCACCTCTCAAAGGGGCGCGGCATTTAAATGGAGGGAGCACATTCTATTAGAGATTCTACGGTATTTTAAGGTGTTTACTTACTAAAATTTTTACAAAATTTTTTGAAAGAATCTAAACAAATATTGGCACGTTGGGAAATTTTCAAGGAACAGTCCCAAGAATCTATCTAAACAACGACAACAAAAAATATTTCCCCTCAACTATTTTTTAAATAAAAAAGGCAAAATAAAAATTAAAAAAGTCAAATATAAATAAAGGCAAAAGCAATATAGCCAGAGTTTTTGAATAAATAAAAATGCTCGCGCATATAAAAAAATATAAAAATTTGACAACAATGCAAATAAGTAGCGATTGAAAAAAAATTTTTTTAAAGGGAAAAAATTTTTTTTCTTTGGCCAAACAAGGGAGGGAAGGGGATGTGAAAAAAGGTGGGGAAGGAAGAAAAAAGAAGGATGTGAAGAGCGGAGGATAAGAAAGAAGAAGAAAGAAGAAGAAAGGTGGGTGGGGAGAAAAAAGGAAGAAAGGAAGGGAAGAGGTGAGGTTAATGGAGGAAAAGGAAGGGGAGGGGGGAGGTTAACGGCCAAAAAAGAAGGAAAAAAAATAAAAGCCCCCTAGATCCCTCTAAAATTTGAATAAGGAGATCAGTCAAGTCGGAGCCGTAAAACTCAAACACTTGAATGTTTAGATAAACTAATTTAGGTATCATTAGATAGAGAATTAAATTAGCTACCAAATAGAAGCTAAAATAAAATTTTTGGTCATTCCATTAGAAAGGTATAGAAACACACACATGAGGGGTAACAAGGAGAAGAGAGGTTTGAAAAAAAAACAACCAACTTTTCTCCAAACTTTTATTTTAATTTTATAAATTAATTTTGGTAATTAAATTAGCTACAAAAATAAAAGTTTAAACACAACATTTTGGTCATTTGATTTAGAAAATAAATTAATCGAAAAATCAGGTTGCAAACAAATGGAAGAATAAGGTAGGTTTGCAACAGGGATTTTAATTTTTGGATCTTCTCCGTTTCAATTTTTATTTTCTTCCGTTTTTTAAAATACGGCAGGATCCCCCTAACCCTAGTCTATAAGCTGACAAAATTTTTTTCCAAAAAAATATTCAGTTAATTTAATTTTGTTTTTTTAGCTAATCCTTCAACTAAACAATAAAAATTATTTTTAAAAAATTCTACAAGTTTTTTTATAATTAAAATTAAATAAACAAATTCAAGAGACTTAATCAAAGACTGCCTTTCTTTTTTCCTTAGCCCTCTCTTCCCTCTCCCCTCCTCAACTCCATGCGACCTGCCAAAAAATTCGATTTTTTGAAAAAAAATATATTAGAGGATAAGGAAAAAGATAAAAAGAAAATGCTGGCAGATAGCGCCCTCCCGAAATTCTTAATTTTTTTTTTGCGCGTGCCGCGGCATTCATTTATATTGGCGACATTGACGCGCAGCCCACCTTTTTTCCCTCTCCTTCTTCCCCAACTTATGATTTTATTCCCGTGATTCTTTTTCCCTTACTCTCTCAAATCTTTAAACAACATTAAAATTAAATAAACAAATTCAAGAGACTTAATCAAAATTAATCAAAAACTTAATCAAAAATCCCCTGCCCTTCCTCTAAATTTTTTTCTCGCTTTTGTCTTCGATAAAAATAGAAATTTTTGGAAGTTGCGAGGGGATATGTAAATTATTTTCAGTTGGTCAAATTAACAAAAAAAAATTTTTCACATTTTGCCGATAAAAAAATTAAAAAAGTAAAAAAAAAGTCCTTAAAATTCACACCTATATACAAAAGTTAAAGCTAAAGGATCGAGAAAAAAAACAGAGACATATCGGAATGGCAATAACAAAAATAATAAAAAAATTCCTTTTCTTCAACAGGACCCTGTACTCTATCCAAGACTCATTGGGGCCATAGGTCCCAAAATCAGTAGGGAAACTTATTTATACATTGAAATATCCTATCATAGATGTCCATAATTGCGAATCATGTGGTTTTTTGACCTGCGGACTTCGGAATTACGAACTGCGGATTTAAAAAGAAAAATTATGGACTGCAGATTTTTTTTCCATTTTCAGACAACCCTGATCCCTATGACCATCCTAACAATTGAACAAACAAAACGAAAAGTACAAAAAAATTCTTTTAAGATTTTTGACATCATTTCCTTATTTAAAAAAAACTTGTAATTTCCTTTTCTGGTCAAAAATCAAAATATTCTTCCTATAATTTCACACAATAATAATTAAAAAATAAAAACCCCAAAAAATGCATGAGAATGAACATTAAAAAATGAATAAAATAAATTTTTATCAAAAGAAAGCGCCGCCTAAAAAAATTTTTTTTCCTGCTTTGTTTTAACCAATCGCGCCTTGAGGGTGTTGTGGCGGTTAAATTTCTTTTGATGTTGATAAAATATAGGAGAAAAATAAAAAATGTTTTATTATATTAGGATTTTTGTGTGTTTCTTTTTATTGCAAATTAAAGTGCGCATATAAACATAGATAGTAGAATTAAAAATGTTTTTGATAGCTTAATAAAATAAGAGGAAGAGAGAGGAAGAGAAAGAAACAAAAGTTTATAAAAACATGTTTTGTTGGATGTTTTTACGATTAACATGTTTTTAAATCCCTTAGAAACATGTTCGTATGTTTTTCTGGTGTTTTTATACTTTCAAAACATTCAAAAACATAGTTAGAGATATATCAAAAGAAACAATAAAAACAACAAGAGAAAGAGGGAGGACTAAATGTTTTTATAGAAACAAACATGTTTTGTTGAATGTTTTTTTGGTAACATGTTTTTATGTTTTTAACGAACTTGTTTGTATGCCTTTTAAGTTGTTTAGAAAAAACTAGCGAACATTAGAGAAACAAAGCTTAAAAACATTCCGAAAACATGTGTTTTTGAGAGAATTAGAAGTGTGAAATAAACACAACTTATTAATTAGCTAGAGAAAATAAACAAATAAGATAAGTAGATTAAAAATAATATTAAAAATATATTCAATCTCTCGAGAGAAAAAAAGGTCAAAAATACCAACAAAAAGCATTTTTATTTATTTTCATTTTTCCTCCAAAAACAAAGAAAAATATAGAAAAGGACATTTTCACATTATCGCTAACCATAATCTTTTCCTCTCCCTTATATAAAGCCCCCAAGTGGCCAAGCCCCAAAATTTCCAAGTGGGAATTGGGAATATGGCTTGAGGGGAAAAAGAAAAAATTTTTTTTTTGATTTTTGTTTGTCTGCTTTTTATTGTTTTTATTTTTGGAGTAAATAAAAATAAATATAAAAATATATAATTTTTAAAATACTCCCCAAAAATGCAAATTTACAGAGGCAACCCAAAAGATCACCACTAGTGTTGCTGTTCCCCTCGTGGTGATTTTATGCCCGGGGACAAAAAATTTAGAAAAATTCTTTTAAAACATAAAAATATTTATTAAAAAAATATTAATTTTTGCAGAGTTAATTTTTCTTCTTTTATCACCATAAAAATAAATATATATTTTATTTATAAGCCCTTTTTTCAAAAAATAATCCCCCACATAGAGTTGCCTTATCAAAAATTTAGCAAGAAAAACAAAAAAAATTAATATAAAATCAATTTAAAGTAGAGAGGTGTTGAAGAGATTAATAAAAATAAATATACAAAAAAATTATGATAAGGAGCAAAAATTAAGAAAAAATTGAAAAACGAACGATGAACATACAGTTTTAATTTTAGAAGGTTAGTTGGTGTATGTTTCAAAGAAATTTAGGCAACGGCATGAAAAAAAAATTTTTTAATTTTAAAATAAAAGGAGGAGTTGAAAAATTACTCGAGATAATAAAGTAGAGAAAGATTAAAATTTTTTAAAGGATAAAATTAAAAAAATTTTTTCAAGCAAGCGAGGGGTTAATTTTTAAAAGCTGAGAGCGCTTTTTCACTTTCTAGTTCATAAAATGTATTTAAAAAGCATTGTGCTTTTAGTGTTCAAAAATAAAAATATATAAACTAGTACTAAAAAGAAAAGAAGGGGTCCATTTTAGCGTCCTTTTAACTGAAAAGAGGAAAAAATTTGAATTTTTTGGGTTAAAAAAAAAGAATTTTTAGGAGAAAGTCGAAAAGAGAATGAAAAGTAGTGGCAGCAGATGGGCATATATTTCTTATTTTTAGAGTGTTTTAAAAATTGAGGGGATGAAGAAAATAGAATAAAATAAAAGTAGAAAGTTGAGAGATAGAAAAGGAATTCTTGACCAGAAGTTTAAAAAAAGGGAGGTTGTTTCTCGAGCAAAAAAATTTTTAAAAAGTAGAATAAAAAATTAAGCGAAAGGATAAAAAATAAAAATAGAAAAAAAAACAAAAGTTGGGAGGAGACTTAATTTTTTTTGAGAAAATTAAAGTCAAAATTGAAAAATTACGGATGTTCATTTTTTTCAAAAATAAAGCAAATTAAATATCTGGCAATTAAGTCTATGAATAAGAAAACCGTAGAAAATAGGAAAAAAAATTTTTGAAAAATTAAAAATGACCTACACGTACATTAAAAATTATAGCGGATTAAATTACCTCCCCCCAAAAAATTAATTAATTACCAGATATTTAATTTTAAAATAAATATTTAATTTAAAAAATCAAACCATACCTCTTCCTTTGTAACATACACAAACATTTTGACAAGGTAAATAAATATTAATATTTTGATAGATTTGCGGCGTTGATAAAAATAAATATAATAATAAACATGTTGTTGTTGTAGAGTAATTAATAAATAATCCATTCCTCAATAAAAATTAATTAAGTAAAATTTAAATTAAATTGACTTCTTAAAGGCTAAAAATTAAAAAAAAAATAAATTTAATTAAACATATTTTTAAAAAATTCCGAAAAAGTATCCGAAAATTTTGCAATTATTGAAAAAAAATTTCTGAAAAAATAACGAAAAAAATTCTAAATTTTTTGCCCAGAAAAATTTTCAAAAAATTCTTTTTCAAAAAAAAATTTTCTTTGTCCTTGAAAATTATTTAAATAAAATTTAATAAATATATATTTAATGTGTAAATTAATTTACAACATTTTTTAAACCAAAATAAAACAAAATAAACTAAAAAATTTTTAATTAATTTAAAAATTTATATAAAACTACTACAAAATATTTAAACTTTAATTTATATATAAATATATCTTTTTTTATATGGGATATTTATTATTTAAAAAAATATATATTTTTTAAGCTTATTAATAAAAAATTTCTTTTTAAAAAATTCATTTTTAAAATAAATTTAAACAAGGAAAATTAAAATTTCTAAAGAAATTCTGATTTTTATTAGAAATTCAGGAAAGCCTTCAGAAAACCCTCAAAAAAATTATTCAGAATTTTTTTTCAAAAGAAATTTTTTTAAAAAACGGCAAGGAATGAGAGAGAGAATGAAGAGTGAAAAATTTTAAAAAATCAAGCGAGATAAAAATTTTTAAAAGAAAATAAAAGGAATGCAAAGTAAATAATTAGAATTTTTTTTGGAGAAAAATGGCTACACGCGTTTTTAATACAGATACAAATATTTTTTAAAATTTTAGAAGATATGTGTTTTAAAAATAAAATAAAAATTACAAAAACATGTTAATGTTTTTATAGTATTTAATTATTTGTTCGACAAAAGAAAATTCTGATTTTTATTTGTATTTTATATAATTAAATCAGAATTTAATTTCTGATGTTTAGATAAAATTCTGATATTTAAAAATGTGTTTTTCCTAGCAAACTAAAATTCTGATTTTTGAACAAATAATTCTGATTTCCCAAATAAATAATTCTGATTTCTAAACAAATAAATAATTCTGAAAAATTATTTGTTCTGATTTTTTAAATTCTGATTTTCTTCAGAATTAGAATTAGAAAAACATTCTGAAAAAAATTCTGATTTTTTTATCTTGTATTTTTGATTATTTGTTTTAAAAATCAGAATTTTATTTTCTGTGTATTTTCTTTGTATTTTTATTTGTATTTTTCTTGTATTTTTACCTAACCAGAATTAACCAGAAACAAATAATAAAAACAAAACAATTGATATTATATAATTTCAAAGCTTTGTAAAAGGAGATATGCGCGCCTTTTTTAGGTCTAAAAATATTTAAATTTTTCTTAAAGGTTTGCCGATGTATGCAAACCTGTGGGAGTTTTAATAAAAAATAATTTTTTTTCTAGAAAAATTATTTAAATTCAAGACTAGAAGGGAAAAAGAAGAAGAATGATTATTTACAAGTGAAAATAAAATTGATAGTAAGTACACAGTTGGATCTCTAACTATCAAAAAATATAAATCCTTTTGACTCAATGTTTCCATTATTTAGGATTAAAGGACTATCGGATTCAACACAAATCGAACAGAAAAACACAAAGATTTTTCGGTTCGTTTTGTCGGTCCTTCGGTTAACCAACAAATTTGATGAAAGCGACAACACTATTTAGGTTACTAGGAGTCTCTCCCCTTCATTCTCCCAGTAAAAAAAAATCAAAATTTCAAAACCAAAACACAAAATTAAGGATATCTAAAATTTTGAAAGAGAGATCCAACTGCATCCTCAATTAATTCAAAATTATAATAAAAAAATACTTATGTATGTCCACAACACATCAAAAAAATCTAGCACAACGCGCATATATTCTAATTGAATTGATCACACACACAAATAGTAAATTGAATCCAAAAAACGTAGAAGAATCATTTTTAAACTTCAGTGCCTAACGAAGAAATAGGTGGAAAATTGGTGTTGTTATCATCCTGATTGTTGTTGTTTTCCATGCCTTCCTTACATGTAGAATTCTTTCTGTCTTTAGCCAAGACAGACGATCTATTGAAAAAAAACTTTCGTTAAGAAAATTAAAAAAAATTTTTTTAGAAAATTTTCAAAAAAATTTTTTTATAGAAAATTCTCGAAAATAAATTTTTTTGAAAATTTTCTAAAAATCCAAAAAAAAATTTCTAAAAAATTTTTTTGAAATTTAAAAAAAAATTTTTTTCAAAAAAACCTTTCTTCTTCTCCACCAGCAACAGAACCACCAACACCACTACCATTTCTTTTTAACATAGCCTGTGCATAACTTCGTCTTTGCTGACCTAATAATACTTGGTGCTCTTGTTGCCCACCTCCACTTCCACAACTTATTGTATCACTTCTAGGAGTACGTGTTGCTTCTCCTCCTCCTCCAACAGTTAAATAAACATTTTCAACATTATTATTCATTTTTCGACCATTCCCCGAAGGTGTTGTACACGTAGCTGTAGATGTTCCAATTGTTGCTCTTCTTGGCCTTCCTCCATTTCCTCCCCCACCTGCTACAACAACAGAAAATGGTTGTTTAATTGAAAATAAAGAAG